GCTTGTGAAAGAGGTGATTGAACTGTTGTATAATCGATTTCTAACCAACGACATGTTTGGTTTTCAGTTTGCTTCATTGGAAAGCCAATACAAATCAAATGGGTTTCTGCATCAGATCACGGCAAGTGCAGGTTAAGAATCAAGAATCTTTTCACAGGGGTTATAACTTTTCATTGTGATTACTGATTCAGTCCTTTTGATGAATACTTATTTTCTTAACCAAGATTTTTCAAGGAAGAAGCAAGGAAGAATGGCTGCTTCAGGACCAAAAAGCTCAGGTCCCAGAGGTTTTGGGCGACAACCAACAGTAGGAAGTGCTCAGAAAAGAACTCAGAAGAAGAATGGTGAAAAAGATAGTAATGCCACTTCTACAGCAACAAACGAGGTTTCAGGGGTTACTAAGTTGCCCGAAGCTAAAGCGGATGTACAGAAACAAGGCTCTGTTGTTTTTAATGAGAGGAATGTGTTAGATAAGTCGGATATTGAGGATGATGCTTTGTTAGAAAGAAAGTTAAAACTTGAAAGAGAGAATCTTCGTAGGAAGGAAATAGAAGCGCTTGCAGCAGAACATTTGGCGAGAGGTGATAGAATGTTTGTGTATCCCGTTATTGTGAAACCTGATGAAGACATAGAAGTCTTTCTCAACAGGAATCTGTCAACTCTGAAGAACGAACCCGATGTTTTGATCATGGGGGCGTTTAACGAATGGAGATGGAAGTCTTTCACAAGGAGATTGGAAAAGACATGGATCCATGGAAATTGGTTGTCATGTCTCCTTCATATCCCCAAAGAAGCTTATAAGATGGACTTTGTGTTTTTCAATGGGCAAAGTGTATATGACAACAATGACTCAAAAGATTTCTGTGTAGAGATAAAAGGTGGGATGGATAAAGTTGACTTTGAGAATTTTCTTCTAAAAGAGAAATTGCGAGAGCAAGAGAAGTTAGCCAAGGAAGAAGCTGAGAGGGAGAGGCAAAAAGAAGAGAAGAGGAGAATCGAAGCTCAAAAGGCTGCAATTGAAGCTGATAGAGCACAAGCTAAGGCGGAGACTCAGAAGAGACGTGAATTGCTTCAACCGGCTATTAAGAAGGCTGTAATCTCGGCTGAGAATGTTTGGTACATTGAGCCGAGTGATTTCAAGGCTGAAGATACAGTGAAGCTTTATTACAATAAAAGGTCAGGTCCTCTGGCTAATTCCAAAGAACTCTGGTTACATGGAGGGTTTAATAATTGGGTTGATGGATTATCTATCGTTGTAAAGCTTGTTGATGCTGAGTTAAAGGATGATGATCCAAAGAGTGGAAATGATGATTCAAAGAGCGGAAATTGGTGGTTCGCTGAAGGTATATTTATGCTTTTCTATCATTTTCTATCATTTTGAACAAACCTGCATTTTTCGACAAAAATTTTGTGGTAACATATCCTTTGACTGCCATTTGGTTTATTGATCTTTTTCATTTCAATATGCAGTTGTAGTGCCTGCCGGTGCTCTAGTCATTGACTGGGTCTTTGCTGATGGACCGCCTAAAGGAGCGGTTCTGTATGACAATAATTTTTACCAAGACTTCCACGCACTTGTTCCTCGAAAAACTCCTGAAGAACTTTACTGGTTAGAGGAAGAAAATATGATTTTTAGAAAACTTCAGGAGGAGAGGCGGTTAAAAGAGGAAGTTATGCGTGCCAAGGTCAGTGCTCAATGCATTTAAAAGAATTATCAGCTTATCCTCTTTACCATATTATTTGCATTCTTGTCAAATCTCTTTCTTGACTACATTGGTTTTACATTTCTTCATCCTCTTTTTTTATTGGCAGATGGAAAAGACAGCTCGCTTGAAAGCCGAAACTAAGGAAAGAACACTTAAAAAGTTTCTGCTATCCCAGAAAGACGTGGTTTACACTGAGCCTGTAGAGATTCAAGCAGGAAACCCTGTGACTGTATTATACAATCCTGCAAACACGGTTTTGAATGGAAAGCCTGAAGTTTGGTTTAGAGGCTCTTTTAATCGTTGGACTCACCGCTTGGGCCCTTTGCCACCTCAGAAAATGGAAGCAGCAGATGATGGAAGCTCACACATGAAGACTACGGGTAACATTTCAGTTGTACAGGTTTCTGTTACTGTTAATATGTGACTAATGTTTCTCTTTTTTTTTTCCAGCTAAGGTCCCATTGGATGCTTACATGATGGACTTTGTGTTCTCTGAGAAAGAGGATGGCGGAATATTCGATAACAAAAATGGTCTGGATTACCATTTACCGGTTGTGGGAGGTATTTCAAAGGAACCACCATTGCACATTGTTCATATTGCTGTTGAAATGGCACCCATCGCAAAGGTAACTGTAAGAGGTGAGGTTGGCCTTTAAAAGCATTGTACTTATATATCTTAAGTTTATGTATATCTATTACATGCAGGTTGGAGGTCTGGGTGATGTCGTCACTAGTCTATCTCGCGCTGTTCAAGAATTAAACCATAATGTGGACATCATTTTTCCAAAGTATGATTGCTTAAAGCACAACTTTGTAAGATCGATGTCTTCTCATATCTTCCTCGCTTTCACTTCCCTTTTTTTGCTGCTTCTCTCTCTGTGTTCTTATACATTGTGAAAATAGGTGAAGGACTTGCAATTCAACAGAAGCTATCACTGGGGAGGAACCGAAATAAAAGTTTGGCATGGAAAAGTAGAAGGCCTTTCTGTTTACTTCTTAGATCCACAAAATGGGTTAGTTTTATGCATATTGCTCTTTAAGCTCTTTCCGCATTTCATTCATCATCTCTTGAGGTCATGAAGAAGTTGTTTCCATTGCTTGGCTGTTGCAGATTGTTTCAGCGAGGATGTGTTTACGGTTGTGCAGATGATGCAGGAAGATTCGGTTTCTTCTGTCATGCGGCTCTTGAATTTCTTCTCCAAGGAGGTTTCCATCCAGTAAGTTACACTTCCTGCTCCTGTAGAATAATGGAGAATTCTCAATGGAAAGTCTTACTAGTTTGCTCTAACTATTAGCTCTAACCCATGGTCTCACCATCTACAGGACATTCTTCACTGTCACGACTGGTCTAGTGCTCCGGTTTCATGGTTATTCAAGGATCAATACACGAATTACGGTTTAATTAAAACCCGTGTTGTCTTCACAATTCATAATTTGGAATTTGGAGCAAATGCCATTGGTAAAGCAATGAAATTTGCAGACAAAGCTACAACGGTAATTTCTGAAAGCATTCTCCACTTAAGAGATCTGTTATCACAGAAATATCATTTGTGCTTTTTCTCTAAAGAAACTGAAAATGAGCATGAGTCGGTGTGCTCTTAACATTATACAGGTTTCGCCAACCTATGCTAAGGAAGTTGCTGGAAACTCGGTAATCTCTCCACATTTATACAAGTTTCACGGAATCATAAACGGGATCGACCCAGATATATGGGATCCATATAACGATAACTTTATTCCCGTAAGCTTCATCACATCCTCTCCTTTCCTGTCTTTAGATTCCTTTCTACATCTTGTGATGTTTGAACACTTTGTGTGGTTCTTAGGTACCTTATACTTCAGAGAACGTTGTAGAAGGCAAAAGAGCAGCCAAGGAAGAATTGCAAAACAGGCTTGGACTAAAGAGTGCCGATCTTCCAGTAGTAGGAATTATTACGCGCTTAACACACCAGAAGGGAATACATTTGATCAAGCACGCTATTTGGCGTACCTTGGAACGGAATGGACAGGTTTTTTTTTCAAGCATTATTCAACCTTTGAAAAGTCCTGTCGTGAACTTTTCACAATCCTTACCGGTTTTCTTGAAAGCAGGTTGTCTTGTTAGGTTCAGCTCCAGATCCTCGGATTCAAAATGATTTTGTAAACTTGGCAAACCAATTGCATTCTTCTCATGGTGACCGAGCTCGGCTTGTTTTAACCTACGATGAACCTCTTTCCCATTTGGTAGAAAAGACAATAACAAATCTTTATTTGTTGTTCGTTCCTTAATTTGCTTTTAGTATTGCTCTAAGTCTTTCTGTGTGTTTACTCTCCAGATTTACGCTGGGGCTGACTTTATTCTTGTGCCGTCAATATTTGAGCCGTGTGGACTGACACAGCTCATAGCCATGAGATACGGTGCTGTTCCTGTTGTTAGAAAAACTGGAGGTAACTGTTTTTGGCTATGGTTAGAATCTTAAGGTTTACCCATTTCACTCAAGACCAAGCTGACTTAGGATAATGGTTTATCTTAATCCAATAGGACTCTTTGACACAGTATTTGATGTTGACCACGATAAAGAAAGGGCACAAGCTCAAGTTCTAGAACCTAATGGGTTCAGCTTCGACGGGGCTGATGCTCCTGGTGTTGATTATGCTCTCAATAGGTAACCAACCGAAATATAAACTAAAACTCTCTTGATTCGAGCTTTATTAACCGATATTTCTTGGGGTTTTTTCTTCTGCAGGGCGATATCGGCGTGGTACGATGGTAGAGAGTGGTTCAATTCGCTGTGCAAGACGGTGATGGAGCAAGACTGGTCATGGAATCGTCCTGCACTTGAGTATCTTGAGCTCTATCACTCTGCACGCAAGTGAGACAACATAAAATGGAAACTTTAAGATCAATTCTCTTGGTATGTACAGAAATTAGCTTAGAGAGTTTGATCCTTTCTTCTTCTTTTACATACCCAAAGCAATTTAAAAAACGTTATAGGTCTATGGATTCTGCTTTTGTAATTCTGAATAAATGAAAAGCCAAGCAAAGTTTATATTCCCCAAATTGTTCAAGTTTCTAACCGAATTGGTACTTTTTCAGAATTCCAAATCTGACCCCGACCCGGTCCAATGTGCAACTCGGAAACAGAGCAATGTAACTCTTTTTTCCGGTACTTGATCAGCAGCTGCAGTTATCATTACATTAGTAGCAAAAATCATCAGTTTTAAATATTTTTAGTAACCCCAAAATCTATAATCAGAAACGTCATTATTGTATTTTCCTAAAGCGTTACCCTTTTTTTAAGTTACATAAAAAAGTGAATCAATTAGTGGGTTTGTTCTTTCTTCATGCGGAGAGAGAGTGAGAGAAATAGACTGCAGAAAAGAACTGTAAAATAGACCCACAGAGAAAACAAAAACCAAAAAAAGCTTCAATCTTTTGACTTCCAAATCAAACAAATCTTCGATTTTACATTGACCATTCTCTGCTTTCTTGGATTTGAGTCCTGAAGTCAAACCCAAATGTCTTTCAAGAACAGAGGAGAGTACAATTTTACTCCAAGAAATGTAGTTTCTAGAAACTCTGTATTTTTCATGTGCCTCGCAAGTTTCTGCCTTGGAATGTTCTTCACTAACAGGTAAATCTATTACAAAAAACCCATTTTGATAATGTTCAACGATTTCTTATAAAGTTTCGATATCTCACTGTTCATGTCTGATTCTTTTTTTTTTCACAAGAGTGTTATTTTTATTACATAGCCAAAAACCAACAGAACATGAGTGAGCCAAAGTAGAATACATAGCCAGCGAACAAAAGTATGTTCCCGGCGACAAAAGCCGGCGAACAAAGATATGTTCCCGGAGACAAAGCCGGCGAAACCAAAGAAGAGAACTTGATCGGAGAATTCAAGTAGTCTCGGAGAATCCGGGAGTTACAGAAGAGATACCGATCTTCTTGCCTCGCTTGATATAGGTCGACTTGGAAAAAGAAATCTTGAGCATCCTTTGGACGATGGCATAGTCTCTGAAATTGAAAAGAAACCGCCGAAGATGTCCTGCAGGTTGAAGTCGATTATAACGACAAAACCGGTGATTGGAGCCCAAATCTAGAACAGATCTCGCCCAGATCTGAAGCGGAAAGGAAGACTTTCCTTTCCGCTTCACCAACCAACGGAGACGGGTGGTATAGGGCCGACGCGGAGAAGCACTAGAGAGCCCCGATGAGAAACCAAGAGAATCCCTGCAAAAATCAGAAAATCCAAACCATAGATCCAGAGAAGAGATCCCTAAATCTGACTCTATAAGAAAACTAAACAAAATAAAAAGCCAAACCGATGCCAGAACTATGAAAGCTTCTGGCCCTCGGCTGGAATCAAAAGACAACGTTTAAGCCTTAATTTGAAACCAGAAGAAGAACAGGAGAGAGAAGAGAGAATTCCGTTCATGTCTGATTCTAGCTTCTTCTTTTTTTTTTTTTTTTCCTGGAATTTTTAAGTATTTTGTTGTTTTCTAATTTGTATTTCATCTCCTTGGGACTGACTCTGCCTTGTGTTTTCTCTAAAGTTAAGTAGATTTCTTAAGCTTAGAGTTTTGTCGGTGAAGACATGCTTTTTATTATCAGACCAATGGTCTATTTGTGTCCGTGTAGCTTTTGTGAGGAATTACGAGAGACACAAAAAAATCTATAACTTATACTGCTTATCAGATAGATTTGATCAAATGATGGAACATTGTAACTTTTAGTATTGAGGGAAGAGGAACAATTGTATTGCACATTGTCCACAATGTATGAGAATAACATAAAAGATTGCTTCTTTTTGTTGCAAAACTCTGTATCACTGCGAAAGATGGTGACTTGATCTGCATTTTGGTTCGGGTTTGTGTTTTTTTTGATCTTATGGATTTATTAAAGCTTTGTGCTTGATTATGGGATAATGATCATCATTATAACAGGATGTGGAATGTAGTACCTGAAGCTAGAGGCATATCAAGACTCTCCAAACTAAGCTTAAGTTCTAGTGATTGCCATAAAAAGAATGTAAGATTTCTGCGTTTTTGCGTTATCAACTCACCTGGAAAGTCGATGATACATTGTTTGATCTAGTGTTTCTTTGTAGGTTTTGGAGTTTGGTAACAACACTATCGGGTAAAACCATTTGGAAATTTGACTAGATGTATCTATGAACAATTGCTATGTATGTTTAGATGATGATGATGATGTTATATCATTTGAAACAAATGCAGGATCTTAGATAAATCCATTTCAAGTTTAGAGATCAAACTAGTAGCTGCTAGAGCCGAACGCGAGTCGTTGGCCGGGAAATTTAACATTTCCAAAGAAGCCAAGAAAAGAAAATACTTCATGGTTATCGGTATTAACACGGCCTTTAGTAGTCGTAAGAGACGTGACTCTGTCCGGTCAACATGGATGCCACAAGGTAAGTCTGTTTCCAGTTTCTTGATTTCTATTGTACATTAGTCAGAAATTGTAAATGTTTCGGTTTTTAAACTATCATTCAGGAGAGAAGCTTGAGAAACTTGAAGAAGAGAAAGGCATCATTGTTCGCTTTGTTATAGGACACAGGTACAATGGAGAAGTCATGTTCTCTAGTGAAAAACTAAGCATTTACACTGATACTTTACTTTGTGAAGATAGACACTTTTATGTTCTTGGACATGTTCTGATTGCAGTGTGTTGTCTCGGGGGATTCTTGATAAAGCCATTGAAGCAGAAGAGAAAACACATGGTGATTTCTTAAAACTGGTAAAACTCTGCGCAATTCTCACAAACTTTATTGTGTGTTTGGTACTTTCTTGCTACTTTTATTTAAATCTTTATATAACAAAACAGGAACATACCGAGGGATACATGGAGTTATCTGCCAAGACTAAGACGTTTTTCGCTACCGCTGTTTCCTTGTGGGACGCAGAATTCTACATCAAAGTTGACGACGACGTTCATGTGAATCTTGGTAAGAAAATCAAAATGTTTTATTTTTTATCTTGTATCATTCATCCATTTTGTTTGATGCCTTGTTCCGATTTATTTGTAGCCACGCTCAAAAAGACTTTATCCGTACACCGAAACAAGCCTCGAGTTTACGTTGGTTGCATGAAGTCCGGTCCCGTCCTAGCCAGAAAGTAAGTAAAAAACCTACCTTACTAAGGTGAGCATTTTTAGGTACTTAAACAGCGTAAGAGCAGCAACCTTTCCAGACTTTTTATATTTCTGGCAAAAAAATAGGAGTGTGAAGTACCATGAACCAGAGTATTGGAAGTTTGGAGAGGTCGGGAACAAGTATTTCCGCCACGCCACGGGACAGTTTTACGCCATATCTAAAGATCTAGCTACTTACATACTGATAAACCAGTAAGTTTTTTTTAGCGGTATAATGCAGCCAGAATGCTAGGGGAAAAAACTATAGTGATCTCTTTTCTTTTGTTGAAATTTAAGGGATTTACTGCATAAGTATGCGAATGAAGATGTTTCGTTGGGATCTTGGTTCATCGGATTGAATGTAGAACATGTTGATGACAAAAGACTCTGTTGCAGTACTTCTCAGGGTAAAGAGCTTAACAATCCTGGTTTGGTCCATAAGATGTTACCGGTTTTACTATAAGTTGATTTATAACAGAATTTAGGATTTCCAAAAAGAAAAGTTAATGGTATGAAATATAACAAGGTTTTAGGAATTTCTCTAAGAAAATCAGATTCTAAGTAATTAATTCTCTTTACACAATTATCATATGATAAAATTATAAATGAAAACTTTTATGTTTTTTGAAACGCAGATTGTGAACTAAAAGCAGTGATGGGACATAATTGTGCGGCGTCGTTCGACTGGAAATGCAGCGGAATCTGTCGATCGGCTGAGAGGATGGCCGACGTTCACGAACGTTGTGGCGAACCTCAAAATGCGTTATGGACGTCAAATTCCTGAAAAAGCTATAGAAAACAAAATTTCTTAAGTACGACTATTATAATACTTTGACGTGCTAATAATCTATAATACCAGTAAACTAATTTAGAATGAAAAAAAAAAGAGAGCGAAAAGATTTCAAAACAATTCTGTTTTTCTTTTGGGGTAGGGTTATATAGGGTTTTGATCAGAAAAAGAATAAATGATGCAAAAAATAGTTAGTGAAGTGGTTTAATGAGAGACAAAGAAATAATGTTCTGGTCACATTTGGTTTGTCCTATGACAGACAGAGAGTCCTTATTGTTGTGCCTTTTTATTTAATTTCCATATGTCCTTTTTGCTTCTCATTGCACTCCTTTGTGTTTTTTCTTTCTTACCTATTTATGGGACCATATTTATATTGAGTTACTTATGGCTTTATACTCTCTCGTTTTAGAACTTAAAATTTGTTTCAGAATAAGTGTAATAACGTTAAACGACATATATGTGAACCGGAGGGAATATCAATTACTCTAATTTTTTGGATTAAATTCGATCCGATATCTGGCTTTAATCGGAATTTTCTATGTTTTGGAATTTTTTTTTCTATTTTTAATGTTTTTTCTTAAGTTCGATCGTTGGTAATTCTGTCTTATCCTCTAACGTTGGTTGGATATTGTCTGGCAAACATGTAAACAAAAAAGGACATGTTTACTTTTTCACTAAACTAAAACATAATATAATCTGATTTGTCACAAACATACTTCCGGAAATGTAGAACGACTTGACGAAATTTCATAAATTTAACCTTATTTGAGAGGATAAGTCCAAAACAGACTTCCTGGTTTTCGTAAGATTATTAACAACAAGCGTATAAACATACACCTTTATTTAAATAACAAATAAGAGAAATCATTCCACAGCTAAATTATAGACAAAAGGTGTAGATAGTTAATTACAAATTAAACACTTAATAGTTTTTGGTTTGTTGCAATATCATTACGATAGTAAAGCAAAATATAGTTTTACTTTCTAGCTAGTACTTTTACTCCCTTAAATACTTGCTAAAAATAGAAGTTCAAATCGCAGTTGTACTTAGATTTTGGGTTTTGTGTTGCTTGTTTCTATACCTTCGAAGCCTGTAGAGTAAAAACAATTTTTTAAAGAAAATGTTACCAAAGGCATAATATTCAAAACTGAAAACAATAAAAAAATAATGATACATACCTGATACCTTCAAAGGTTATGATAACGATCGATCTTTGCCATTTTGGTTTACCGCGTGATATTGGCACGGCTCAATCGAACAACACCGATCTCCATGAGTTAAGAGGACGACTATTTGATTGAACCGCACTAATATCTCGCGTTACCTTACATAAAATCACTCTTGTTCGACTATTATCTCCACTTAGCTCCAGAAAACCAAGAAACAAAACCAAAAGTGACTATCGATCGACACAAAAAAAAATGTTAATTTACCGGAGAGAACAATTGGATCCTTGAGAAACACTTACCATATAATAATTTCCACGTCAAAAACCAAAGTAAAAATTAGAAGAGTCGAAGGAGAAAAGAGAAATGCGGCCATTAGCAAAGTTTATGGGTATGCATAGTGAAGAAGAAGATATAAATACGAAGATGGTTGAAGAAGAGAGGCAAGCAAGAGACAAGCATTAAATTAGACCAACAACCCCATACCAAAAAGGAGGTTGGTTTATTAAATTTGAATTGTTTCTATGAAAAACTTTTTTCCAATAATATTTCTTTATACATAGTGTGTATTAGTGTGTATATATATATATATATATTCGTCTTTAATTTCTTACAAGTTTTTTTTGTTCTTGGTTTAAAATTTCTACAAGTTACAACCCACGGAATTAGTTGAATTTACAAGAACAAGAGTTTGTTTTGTTCTCGCAGTGGCCTAACAAATTGGAATTGTTCTCTAAAATCATATAACCACTAGAAACTCTTCTAAGTTCTAACCAAATATAATACTATCTCTATCTCATTTTATTAGATGTTTGGACTAAAAGCATAAAGATTAAGAAACAATAAATATTTTTTCATTTATGAAAATTCAACCAGTAAAAAAATACTGCATAATTAAAACAATTAAATACTATTAAACTAATATAAATCATGCATTGAAAATAAAAAAAAATCTTATATAATGGAACAAATGAAAATGCCTTACACATCTTATATATTGGGACAAAGGGAGTATAATCTGCTTGTTACGTAGAAGACGCATTTCATTTTTATTTTATTTTATCATAGAAAATTATAAAGAATTAGTTGATTAATATATACTTCCTTTTCATCCATTTGTGGTGGAAGAAAAAAGAAAGACATATTACATATACATAAAATATGAAGATGTATATTGGTAACTAGACATGTCAATGTCGAGACTGGTTATCAATTTTTTTTTAATTTATTTGTTTTCGATAATTACCCGCTATTATACTCTCTTTGTATTATTTTTTTGGCTCTTGCATCTTGGTGTGTGTACATATAAGTATAACTATATATTTTAAACACAAAAAAAGATATAACTATACTATGCTAGATAAACGATAAATTAAAGGAACAAGGTTCCCACGAGCCTTCAATTTAGTATTTATGAGGAGCAAGGCATGTTGGTGGGGTTATGCCACTCCCAATATACATTTGAATTTCGAAATTAATATGGCTCAACTTTCCAAATATTCTCCCTCCCTATTTATTTCTTCTCTTGTTAAGTTCCTATCATTTATTTATATTTCCTTAAAAAAGTAAAGATATGTTTTATGTACCTATGGAAAAACATATGCAAAAAAATCATGAAAGTGATCATTTATACATCTCAAGAGTTTAAAATGTGTTTTATGTACTTACTGAAAAGTGTATTCATATTTTAAAAATGCATATAATAGATTTTTCCTAATTTTCAATGCTTCAATATCAATAGTAAGTAGGTCAACTTAATATTTAGGAATTCTTATCATTTTTAATTCTCATTTAATAGATCTTGAAACAAAAAATATTGGAAAGATATGCTTAAAGAAATAATTGACTTTGCACAAAAGATTATCATATAACTACTCTTTCAATTATCTGAAGTCTTAACTACTTTTAGTTTTGAAAAGTGTGGCTCCAAAACATTTAGATATATGTTCATGGTCCTATCTATACAACTAAACCTACAAAGACTTCCGACCAAACCCGAAGAACGCCTTCTCTTTTTTTTTTTGCCAACCACGAGAATGTGTCGAATCCTGTTAAGGTTGTAATTTTGTTATGTAATTTAAGTTTCTTATCATGATACGTGTCTCATTTCTAACATTTATGCTAGCTAATTACTAACAACATAATATGAAGACAAAATTGAAACAAGAAGTACCCAAAAAACTGAAAAAAATAAGTAACAACAATAATATAGTATACAACTTTTTATTCTTTTGCTTCTTTTGGATAGGGATATTGCACGGATTTCGGGATCCATCAGACAATTTAATATTGTGAACATTGATAAAATCTCAATTCATTCGTGGGATGCACCATTGAAACTCCAAAATACCATTTAAAAGAATTTAAAAAATACTACTACTACTAGTATAGAAGATTGTGACATATCAAAGGAAAAAAACGAAGAAGAAGCAAAAGAACGTTTTATATCTGTGAAGAAGTAGAGTCCTTCTTCTTCCTCTGCACAAGATTCTTCATCCAATTGACACCAATGAATACAACAATCTTGGCTTTGTTGATGCCTGCTTTGGTCTTGCCAGACTTTTTCCCGGTGACATCTTTTTTGCCGTCAGTTGTCTCCTCCGCAGCCATCACCCCAATTCCTCCGGTCCCCCATTGATCCGCCCAACTAGGTGCATCACTCGCCATATTACAACTATCCCAATATCTTATGTGTCTAGCAAAACATATTCATTGAATTATTTCGAATAATCTATGAATATATAAGCATAAACAAACAAACAAATAAATACCTCTGATTCTTGGAGCTCTTCTCGGTAAAGACTAAAGAGAGAAGGACCGATTTTGGATGAGCAAAATAAGTGGAAATGTAGAGAATGGAGACTAATAGTGGATGGGTTGTCAAATTTTTGTTTTTTAATGTTAAATATAATTATTGTACTATATATTTGCTTGTCGTCTTTTTATCTAAAGTTTTTGATACAAAATGTTTAAATATGATTATTTGGGTTGTCTTTGGAATGGACTTGCCAACTCAAGTTAGCTCGTTTCCAACTTGCAAAGCAAACGTTGTTTTGGAATCTTTCAACTTTATTTAAAAGCATAAGAAACACCTAACTTTTAGTTCTATGAAATATTTTTTTTAGAGAAATCTAAGAAAGGTGTCACTTACTATTTAAAAACTTAGCGAAAATGCCACAAAACATAAATCTTTCAAATGTGCCATAATGGTGGACAATATTTCTTGTCTATCCAAATTTTTGTATGTCGTTTCGAATTCTTGTCCACCAAAAGTCTGTTGTTTCAAAGGTGGACAAGATTTTTTGTCCACCAAATATCTTCTCAATCTGTTGTTTCAAAGGTGGACAACATTTCTTGTCTACCAAAAATTTTTGGTTCAAAGTCTTGTCCACCATTATGACACATTTGGAAAGACAAACGTTTTGTGACAATTTCTGTAAGTTTTGCGACATGACACTTTATACCAAAATCCCTATTTTTTATCTTGTACTTCAATTATCTGCTCCAGACTGTAACTTGTTCTACTTATTTATAAGTCTAATTCCACTTAATATAATCATGGAAGAAATTTAAAGACTAAACATAAATCAATATTAGGTTATCAAAATAAACATCAAAGATGTTACTCAAACACCAGTCACTGGAAATATCACAATTTTATAAGAAAAATCGATTGGATATATGGTAAAATATAACTTTACAATCCAGTTTACACAAATTGGTGTCGAGGAGATATTTTTCAACAAAACCGTCTTGTAGTTAAACTGGGGATTATAGTTGGAACAACTGAACTCATTAGAACTAATTAACCTAAAACCATTGATCAGCGCATAAACTATCAAACTGTCTAAACATGATCATAGCGGATAAAAGATCATCTTTCTTGAATATTGTCTAGATGAATTATTCATGAGTGAAGAATTTCTTTTACAACAACAAAAAAAATAAATCACAAAGGCATGTTAATGATCTAACCCTTAAAATATCGGCTTATTAAAATTATTTCGCCCAATATTTATTTTCTTCAACAATATGTATTTTTTTCCAAATTTAAATCCGAATATCAGAATGACAATATTATCACATACTACTAACTACATATCATGATACCAAGATATTTATCTTTTTGGAAAAATTACTTTAGCGCATCCACATGATAGTGTTGTTTTTTTACCTACAAAAATAAATAAATAGCATGAGACATATAGTTCCACTGTTAGAAATGTGATTAAAATATTTGTGTTTGTGTTGCTTTCTAGTTAAAAAATATATAAAAATCAATAAATAAGCGTAGAGAGAAATGTAATAGTCTTTTGTTTTATATCCTTTGTTTTCTTCAAACTTTCAATAGAGAAAGATCAAACTGTAAAGACTAGAGAGTGGTATGAAATAGAGAATCTATCCTCCACGAGAAAGAATATGCATGAAATTGTCCTATCTTTTTTTTTTTGGGTCTGAAATTCCCCTATCTATATTGAAAACTATCAACATCATAAATGTCTTCTAATAAACTTGATAGATCCCTTAATGTTACAATTACCTGATTTATCTGAGTAGCTAGTCCACTTATATCCTGTTGGTATCGTGAATGGATCCACCATTTGTTCCTCATCCTCCAAACGCCGCCGTGAGCTCTTGCCGATGGCATTGATGTTTAGTCTCAACCAAGAAGGTGTTGAAAACGATGGCCGTGAAGTTGAGATTCTTCTATCTGATTTTTCATTATCGTCCACGTCGTGTTGGTCTTCCACTGCAGCTAAAAGATGATTTGGACTTGAGAGCGGTGTGTAGAATTCATCCAACGGTGGAAGAGCCACGAACTTGGTGAATGTCATGACTACTTTTACTGTTGGAATCACCGGTATGGACAACTAAAAACCAAAACATGGGAAAAATATTTGATGTGAAAAGCAAAATCTAAACCGGTTTTGGAATTTTTTTCGTTTCTCAATAAACCGTATTCTAAACCAAACAAAGTTGATCAGAAAGCAAATAAAAACCGGTATAAACCTTGATTTAGTGGTATCAAAGTGAAGATACCGAAACTAAAAACCAAACCAAACCAAAAACGATTCAGTTTGTTCCTCTGACTTTATGTGAGGATGTCACATAACATTAGTGCTAACTCTAAACGTCCGACCAATTATATTACGACACGTCTGATAGATGGTTCATGATACTTTTAATTTCTCATGCAAAACGCTAAAAATTTTGAGTAACGACGAAAGAAAAAAAACGAGTAACGTTCAAGAACGCCCTTTCTTACCTTGACCGGAAAAGTTCCCGTCGGCAACTTAGTGGTAAGTAGCTCTCGCATTCTCCGAACAGCCTTGACATGGTTGGCTAAAATATCAAGCAACGGAAGCAGCTCCTCTGTTTTCAAAGGAAACTGATCCGTTAACCAAACCGAAGGACTCAAACTCTTCACAAACTCCTTTTCTTTGATCTGCGCCACAGAAGAAGCCACCGGAATCGCCGCTTCCGGTAAAGAAACCGATCTCCTCCTCCGCGAAGATCGCCGCTGTGGCTGCCGCCGTAACGGTTCTGATACACTCCAATGATTCTCGTCCAAAGGCAAACTCTGCTCTGTTTCGACTTTTCTCGATTTGAAACTAAAACTTACGTTTTCGATATCGTAAGCTTTAGCCTTCCATTCTCCGACAGTTTCAACCTTCCCTTGCCGTCGCCAATTCGTTATCTCAACGAGCTCTGCTTTAGTAACATCCATTCCAGGACGGTACAAGCTAGATTGACCACAAAAGCCGGCGATATCGTTATCGCTAATCGGATCTTTAGCGTTTTCGAAAGCGTTCAAGATCGTTTTATCGTCTCTGTTTAACACAAGCAATGTACCAGGAGACACATCAAGAAACTCATCTCCATCACTAAGAAAGAGAAAGCTCTGATTCGCGCGGCGGATCTTGAAACCGTCGAATCCGGCTAATGAAGTATCGGCGCGTAAATCTCCGCCGCGTTTCCAGATCTTGTAAGTATCGGAAGGAGCGATTTTTCCGACGAATGGAATCACGGAGCTCTCGAAGTGAAACGATATCTCCATGTAGAAATCTCTCATGCGGCTGAGCACGGCGATGAGATGAGGAAGTCTCCGTCTCCATTTGTTCCACGCCGAACGGTGGTGGTTCCGGAGAATCGTCTCCGTGATCTCTGAGTTTCGACGACACAAAGCCTCGTGCAAAGGATTCCAACCGGCGGCGTTTTGGAGCGTGATATCAGCTCCGGCGGAAGAAATCGTCTTCGCTGCCAAAAAGTCGCCTATCCGTACCGCTAAATGGAGAGGCGTCTCTCCAAAGGGAACGTCACGGCGGTCGAGGACGGTGGAGATTTGCTCCGCGACTCGCTCTTGGCTCATTGAATCGGACTCAGTGTGGATTTGTTCCGGGTCGGTTAGTTTAGGCAAAGACGAAACAAGACGAGACAAACCGGCGTGATCTCCTACAACGACGGCGTAGTGGACGGGACTGTGAGCATAATCATCTATAGTAGTGGCCGGAATATTCGCCGGCGATGACCTTGCCATATTTTCCCCGGCGACTGTTATAAAAACACTAAAGGAGAGTTGAATAACTCTTTTTAATAAAAAAAAAAGTTATGTTACATATTTATCACTGACAACAGTCAACCTAAAATACAAGATTTTGGGCAAGTGAATACTAAATACTCCATAATCTTTTTATAACATTTTTGACCATGGTTTAAATTCCTTTTTAAATTGAGTATCCTAAATCTTTGTTTGGCAACAAATGACTAAATCTTAAATTTTAATTCAAATTCTATATACCTTTACACAATTCAATAGCAAAAAGAAAAGGTGCATGAATTTGTAATTAAAACAATAAGATTGATATGAGGAATAAAAATATATTTGTATATAAAAAATAGTCAATGCAAAACAAGCTAATTAAATATGAGTGTTGTATTCTATAAGAATTAAGTGTTGTGGTCAAGCAATGAATAAATGAATCATAATGGTACATAGGAGTTAGAACAACATTTGTTTTTTCTTGTCAAAGGAGTTAGAACAACATTCAAATTAAACTATCTTTTAATCCTTTCATGTAACAAAAATAAAATTTTACAACTATTTTTTTGTGAAACAGAGAAAATTTTACAAAAATTTTGGTCAAAAAACACCAACTTTAGAAACATATAAATTCTAACATTTTTGCTCTTATGATTTCACATTGACTATGACTATCAGTCTATCATCATACCTCTATAAGCAATTTCCATAAAAGTATATTTTTTTGTGTATTTCGTTAGAATTGTCTATAGTCCGTGTATTATAATCATAGAAATTATTGAATTTTTATGAATTTTTCTTCATGAAATTTTTAGATTTGTTCTGAAACCTTCTGGATGAAACTGAGTCTCTCGGGACTGTCTTTGTGTCCAAACAGTAGTAACCTTCAGCCTTGCCGTCCTCTGTCATCTATCCACGCCTGAACCCGGAAAAAAATCGTCCTTTTGGTTCTTGGAACAGAGAAAAACTCAGAAAATTGAGCTCTGGTAATGGCGGGTTTGGCAATTTCACCTCCCCTCGGTCTTTCCTTCTCTTCTCGAACTCGAAACCCTAAACCCACTTCGTATCTATCTCACAATCCAAGGTACTACCTTTCTAAACGCAATCACACTCTCACATGATTATGCTTCAGCTTCAATTATGACCCAAGTTTTCTCTTTCTCTTTTTTTTTTTTTTTGCTTGATTTGATTTTTGTAGGAATCCTATAAGACGTATAGTTTCTGCTCTACCGAGTCCTTATGGAGATTCTCTGAAAGCTGGTAACTTTAAAGCATTTCGGGGTTTAGGTTTTTCTAAAGGTTGGAACTTTGAGAGTATTATTTCAATTGAGATTGGGTTGTGTTTGATGGTTTCAGGACTTTCTAGTAATGTTTCTGGATCCCCAATAAAGATTGACAACAAGGATCCAAGGTCAGCTCTTTTTTCAGTTCTCCCTCTTGATTATGTATCCATCATTCTCGCAGTTTATGTTCTCACCATTGAAATTGCAATACCTCACTGCCTCTTCCTATCTAAGACATTCTTAAGTCTGTCAATTCTTTACTTTTAAGTATTCAATTTTATCTGTTTCTCTTATCTGGATAGAGTTCTTAGTAGTAATGTCAACCGATGAAATATATAGCGTTTTACACTCTTTCTTATGATAATACATGCTCACCATAGACTATACGGTTGTAAATTGATTGATAGATGATAGCTCAACCTTTCTAATTTCAATGTATTTAGCTGAATTTGTTTCTGTGTTGCAATGTTTTAGATTTGGAGTTATAGAGGCAAAAAAAGGAAACCCGCCAGTAATGCCTTCAGTCATGACCCCTGGAGGACCTTTAGATCTTTCTTCTGTGTTATTCCGTAACCGCATAATATTCATCGGGCAACCAATTAACGCACAGGTTGCTCAGCGAGTCATATCTCAGCTTGTAACCCTTGCATCTATTGATGATAAATCCGACATCCTGGTTAGCCGAAAGCACATTGTTTTCCCAATCACTTTTCAATACTGTAAAATCTCATATTTATTTGGAAGTAATCCTTGTTTCAGATGTACTTGAATTGTCCTGGTGGCAGCACCTACTCTGTCTTAGCAATTTATGACTGTATGTCTTGGGTAAGTTTTCTTTTCCCATAGTAACGATTTCATCACCCAGAAACTGCGGTATATTAACCTATTGAATTTTCTCGAAAATGATCTTTAGATAAAGCCTAAAGTTGGAACAGTGGCGTTTGGAGTAGCTGCAAGCCAAGGAGCACTTCTTCTTGCTGGAGGTGAAAAAGGAATGCGCTATGCAATGCCAAATACTCGTGTCATGATACATCAACCACAAACTGGATGCGGAGTATGTCTCTTGGATTCTCCTTGTGAATATCAATATACCATTCTAGTTGGAATCATATATGCATGTGAACTTCATTGATTTCATGCTAACATAATTTCGCAGGGACATGTGGAGGACGTGAGGAGACAGGTGAATGAAGCCATTGAAGCCCGACAAGTAAGGCTCTCTCTCTTCCTCTCTCTTATTCTGACGCTTCTTGCTTTAAGAATAATGAAGATCGAGTCTTTGGAGCCAAAACCTACATCTTTAACTGATTGATCTCTTTGGTTGTCTCTACGTGCAGAAAATTGACAGGATGTATGCTGCTTTCACTGGACAACCTCTCGAGAAAGTGCAGCAATACACTGAAAGAGATCGTTTCTTATCAGCATCTGAGGTAATTTGCCTCTGATCTCTTGTTTAAGTTAATATTACCTATCATATCTGAAACATTAACTCGAATTTCTTCTAAACGAGCTTTGGCTCACTGGTAGTTTGGAATTAAGAGCTCTCACCATATCTCGTGGACTTTGTGTCTTTGTTATGTTCCTCATGATCATTCTGTACGATGTTGAATTCGGCATATGATCTTTTCCCGGTTAATTTTTTTGCAGGCGCTCGAGTTCGGGCTCATTGATGGTCTATTGGAAACAGAATACTGAAACAGCTTACAGGACAATGCACAGAGACAGCTCATTGCAATGTTCAAAGCTTCCAATTTCATTTGAATATGAACAATTGTAACTGATATTTGTGCATAAATCAGTTTGGTTTTCTTGGTTTTACAATCTACTTAACAGAAATGAGAAAACTAAACTGGTTCTTTTTTACCGAAAAATCTGAAAGTTTTATGTTCTATTTTTGTTTACACACGATAACCAAGCAGACCGGAACTGTATGGAAAACCGGATTGGTTAGGTCCAGCTTGTTACTTACTATTCAGTTGAGTACTTAAATCCTATACAATGGCAAGGCATAAGTTGCTTTGGTACATAGAATTGTCGGAACACAATGTGAACAAATTGGGAACAGTCGTGGCTGCACTGAAGCAAAAGCTCTCCAATATAGGTTTCCTTTAGAATTCATTACAAATATGTGAAATCACAAACCAAAAAATCGATCTCTGAAACTCTGCTCACTAGTCACCGTTAAGTTCCTGTCAAGAACAACCAGAAACATCCCAGTCAAGCAACATAATTATACAATTAAGGGTGGGTGGCTCAATCAAATTCAAAGGTGGAAACGTTTTGAGTAAAGATTTGAGACTCAAAAGGCAAAAAGGTGACTCAGTCCAGCTCAGAGGTAGAAACTTTAGTATTTAAACTGTGTGTGTGAGAGAGAGTATATAAAGTAGTGGGAGATGAGAGACTTACCATAGTTTTGGTGTACACCTGTGAACTTGTGAATTGCCTTCAAAAGGGAACCATATCTCATATACTTCAAAGTTCCCATATGTCTATCAACAAACAAATACAGAGAAAATAGACAAACTCTATGAGATTTAGCTCTAAAGATACAAGAGAAAAAGAGTTAAAAGCACGTACACTATCTCAGTGTATCGAAGTCTCCAAGCAGGGAAACCAAGGTGGCTCCTTATAGGTCCATAAACCAGTAACAGATCGGGCACGTGTACATTCTCACCTGCCAAAGTATTGACATCAGATTCATGGAAAGAAACTTAATAATGACTTGAATTCGATATGAGAGAATCAACACAAACCAACAACTCCTAATGCTTCATTCAAATGAGACTCTGTAAAAAAGTTTTCCCCTTGATCGTTCTCGGGATGGCTGGATTTCAAGTATCTCTGAAGAAGTATGTTGGCTGCTTTCATAACAGCTTCTTTATTGTCGGAAGATGAAATAAATTCTAATGCAATGCGCTTTCCGTCAGGCGAAAAATCTTTTCCAATCTCCTGGGAAAGAAAAACAAAAACATTGAGAAGGTAAAGTCAAAATCTAACGCTCATGGACAAATCGAAGGGACACGATTTGCAGATACTTTGGTACGATAGTAATATCAATATGCACATTTCTTTCCTATCTATAAAGTCCTATATATCATGAGCTAGAGAAGTAACATAAGCTAAAGATTTGATGCACAAGTAAAGCAGCAAACTAAAGGAAAGGTATGAGATTAACATACCTCTAACAACATCGAACCTGGAACGGTTTCAAGGATCAAATCCTTGGATTTCTTCAGTAAACCTAAAAAGAAGCCAACTTCAGCAATCATATATATGTGTTAATGAACCGAAAATCGAGATAATTAAGCAAAAGCATATACCTTGCGAGTCAAAAAGACCAACTTGTTTCACCCCAATGGTTGTTAGCCATTGCAAAAGCTCAACAACCTTGGCAACATCTTGAACTGCTTCGATGTCCACTACAACAGCTAGACACCGGAGTTTCTCAAGATCGATGGAACTGTACTTTTTATTCAATCCTAACGATATGGCATAGCTTTCGATCGCCTCAGATATGCCAGATACAATGTACCACAAGCTCACAACAATGTGTATGAAACGCCACAGCAAATTAAGACCAAGATCACCAATCTGTGGAAAACAAATTCAACACAAACAAAGTTATGGCTTGAAGACTCAAATCTCAATTGCTCTAAGCTGGTTTTTGATGTAATGATATTGGTTTTGAGGCAACACCAAATTGTTCTTAATCACTTAATTCCATAAGCATTATTAATGAACTAAAGCCACTCAATGATCAAATAATAATAAGGAACAAAAGAACTCACTTGACCAATCCAAGAACTCAGGAGCCGCATCGATTGATTCGAATCCATATATCTGAAAAATTACAGAAAACAAACAAAAGAATCAGAAGAAATTTGAACAAAAAAAGAGAGAGACAGAACAAAGAGAAGAGAGACGCACACAAAAAGTGACTGTCTCCGTAAACAACGAAGGTGTTTGCTGCGTGTGTTAGGGAGATGTTTCCAAACCAAAACTTCGGATAACACAATTCGAACTTTCCTTAAACCCAAAACTACGTTTGATCGAAATTGGAAAAGGAAAAGAAAAAGGAAGAATTTTGGAGGCGAGATGAGAAAAAAGTAAGACACTTTTGGAGCTCTCTCTTTAGCCTCTGATTTTGGTGATTTATTTTTTGCTTAAACCTTAAGCAAATAATCACACTCTAGTTTGCGAAACTAACTCTGTTGTCTGATAGGAGTATGAGACGTCTCGGGTTCAAACCCTACAAGTTAAGTCATAAGTGTGTTTCTAACTTATCTTGTCACGGTTTTGTTGTGCATGACATTTTTTTCCTGGTTATGTTTATCATGATTTTGCTGTGAATTGGAGCTATCAAAATCATACTAGTTCGTTGAGAATTTTGAGCTCGTGATAATCATGGTTAACACAAAAACCTAAATCAGATTAACCAAGAAAAAAACAACATGTACAAGGTCAAAACTAGTATTTTTTGTATTTTGAAACAACAGAAACATAACATCTGAAGCATCACAAAAAAAAAAACAGCATCTTTACTTGAGATTCAGAACTAAATGCACAATATTTAGTAAGAGTCAAACGTCCTACAAATGAAACACCAAGTGTTGCTTCTTGCTTGGTTCAATCACATGAACATAACACTGATTAGGCCACTCTTCCCTATCAGAAGGACTCAAGAGTTATGGAGCTGCGGTTGCAGCGTATTTCGAACTTAGAAAACATGTGTGTAGGCAGGCACGCTATTGAGTGGAGTCTTCAGAGAATCTCGAATCAAACCCGGTAGAGGAGGAATGAACAGAACCAGGAGCTGCACCAGAGCCACGTTGCAGCTCAAGAACAAGCCATCGAACCGCTCTACTCATCTGTTCAAGCCTTACTGCACTAATAGGAGGAAGACTAGTCGCAGCACCAGTAGCAGCTGGTGCTTGACCTCCTGAGTTTCCTGATGCAGTAGTTAAACCAGTAGCCTCATCAACTAAACACTCAGATCCAATTCTCTGCTTCACTGACTCCACAAACTCCTCTGCTTGATCACAAGCCACACGGAACAATTCCCATTTCTCCTTGAAATTCTCCAACGCAGCATCAGTGAGAGATGCTTTTTGGCCGCCCGCACTCTCTTTAGACTCAAGAACACCAGCTGAAGCAAGAACAAACTTCTCGTAGGCTTTGTTCAATGAATCCACAATGTTATCCATTTGATCCCTCCCCTTCAAAAAACTGCTCAAACCAAGTACCAATCATGAGATATCAAGTTAAACAAGAGAAACTGCAAAAGGAATCAAGCAAGATCCCAGCAAAAGTATCTGGAAACAAGAAACCCTAAACCTCAAAATTCTGAATTCGTTCTCGTTAACGCTAAACATAGAATGAGAGAAATCAAAATCTCAAGGAAAGAATAAGATGCTACGGTAGCAATGGAAGTGATCAAAAAGATTACATCTTTGAGACAGAAATTTCACGAAATTGCAAAATTCGCGATATCTTCGCAAACCTAAGTTTCGAATTCACGGCATAGTATTGAAGGAATTGAATCATTAGAGCAGTTTTAGAAAGAATCCAACAAAATCAGCCCGAAACCGCCGGAGAGAAAGAGGAGAAACTTACCGGAGATGAACGGAGAGTCGATTTGTGAGTTTCTTTCTTCTTCTTCTTTGTATTTGTCTGGTTAGGTCTATAATATCGTAAAAATTGAAATTAAGACTGGTTTTACTACAAACCGGACCGACCTAGACCAGATTGGTCCATTTGGATGTTTTTTCAAACAACAATATTCTTGACTTCTTGTGTTAAATTCCATCAACATACAATTTAATTTCAAATTTTTACATATATGTTTTAATAGTTAGTATAAAATAAAACATGTAAACGAAATCTAGACGATTTAATCTGTTTTAATATTTAAAAAATTCTATCCCAATTAAACGATAGATATTCATACACTGATCAATTTATATATCTATTCGTAACAAATTGGTACTGTATTTGGTAATTTTTTCAAAATAGCAGTGTTCACGAAAGCGCTAGGTGCTAAGCGGGCGGTGATCCAGTGCCTAGCGCCTAGAACGCCTAATCGGGGTCTAGGCGATATTTTAGGCGGTTTAGACGTTTATAACATAAAATATTATATTATACATAAAAGTTATATAAAATATCTATATAAAACTAAAAACTATGAAATTATAAACAAAAACTAGATAAAACATTTATTTCTATTTATATTAAACAATATATGAATATTTATAACTATATATATAAATAAAACTCTAATAAAAATTTTAAAAATATATTAAACAAAATCTATGTAATTTTAGGCGGTCAAAACGGTTATCTAGGCGTCGCATGAAAGCCTAGCGCCTAGTCGGGGCCTAGGCGACCGCCTAGACCGCTTTTTAGAACACTGCAAAATAGTAAATGGATCACGTCAAACTTTTCCCCGTGTTGAAAACATATGTTCTATTCATAGATCTAAACCATATATTGTTCACCACCATCCATCTATTGTGTTGGAAACGATTTGATACCACAATCAATTTAATAATAGAAAATACTAATAATAACAGAGCAAGAAGAAAAATGTAAATTCAAAAATAACATTACATATATGTCTATATATTACCGTAAACACACAAGTTAATCCGACAAAACCTCTAAACATCTAGAAAGAAAAATGAAAAACATTTCAATCTTTCTAGTTGTTTTTGCCCTATGCATGATTGGCAATGCATATGGCATTTCCAATCCATTTAAAGGAAAAAAGACGTCGTTGTTATTCAGGAACAGCCTTTCACACAACAAATGGCTCAAGGTACGTTGTAAATCTGGGGACAACGATGTTCGTGAAAGATATATGAGACCTGGAGAAGATTGGGGTTTTAGTTTCCACGATGACGTTATGGGAGAAACACTTTTCTGGTGTACAATGTATAAAGGAGCTGATTATAAGATAAAGAAGACGTTTGATGCTTATGTTCAAGACAAGAGAATGCCTCACGGTGGCTCGTATAATTATGTCGCTCAAGAAGATGGGATCTATCACAGTACTTTGATACACCGTATGCGGAAGATGTATGATTGGAATTAGAAAAAATCTCCTATGTTATTCAATATTTATAATGCTTACTCAAATTATTGATTTGATATAGTTGTAAAGTATTTTTATTATTTGTTTCATGGAAGAATCACTCTTTACATTAAAAGAAAAGTGAAGAGAGACATTTCAGAACGATTTTTATGAAGGACAATTTGTTTCTGTCTCATCCTCAAATATGTAAGGAACTCGTCAAAAATATAAAATAAACATACCATAATTAAGAACGTTACGTTTGTGCCATTAGTTCGTGGCATTGCTTAGTTTTTCTCTCCTTTCATGTTGCAGAATCAAATCATGTTTCTCAAGATTCTATCTGGGCTATCCATCCTCCTTGCATTTATGCTGGGGACATCGCTAGTGCTTTGGCTTATGTAGATAAAAAAATGATGAATAGAATTATAGTAAAGGATGCACTTGACTCGCCGCAAATGCGAAAGAATGCCACCGAAAAAAATAGAACGATATATGTTTCGTTGTATTGGATTTGGATGTGTATATATCCCGTATAATCTTAAATTTGTAAAAAGATTGCTAAACTTTATATTTGTATAACCTTATATATTTATATCTTTTATATTTGTAAATATCATTAAAAATAATGTAAAATCGTTTAAAAAAATTTCGTTATTCTAAACGTTTTTAGAACAGAACATTCTGAAAATCAATTTTTAAATCATTCTCAACAAAAAATTTTTGGATAACTAATAATTTATCATGTAACTCATTTTTTCATTCTCTTGATTGAATCAAAACTAATTTTGATTTTGTTTTTAGAGAACATTATTATCTTAAGTTCTAATATGAAAACAAAAACAACTTATCCAAAACATGTCTTTTCTCTTCCCACAACTATCTAATCCAATATCTCTAAAAAAATTCTCTTTCTCACAATGCCTTAAAAAATTGTGCTCTTTCTATAGTTAACTTGGCTTATATTAAAATATCTATAGTTAACTTGACTAAATTAAATTTTTAGCTAACTTGGTAAAACCTCTAAAATTTGTGCTCTTTTCTATAGTTAACTTTGACTATATTAACATCTTGAACAATTAAACCATAAAAAAAGAAACAGGAAAAACCTTGACCAGTACAACAAATCCTAAATATGGCCAAAGATAAGAATCACAACTGAAAATTAAAAGACTCCATGTACTATTTATACTACAGAAAAACACCAAATAGAATCCAAAAAAAAAAAAAAAACATGAAGATCTTTTGTTTAATTCTCTTCTTAATCTCCTCCTCCATCTCCACTTCTATTGCCGTCGAACCTCCCCCGGAAACAATCTACCAAAACTTTCTCCAATGTTTCACAAACCAAACAAAAGCTCCTCCTAACTCATTATCCGACGTCGTTTTACCAAAAACCGCGGCAGCTTTCACCCCAGTCCTACGCGCTTACATCCGAAACGCGCGTTTCAATACCACCGCGACTCCGAAACCCGCGATTGTAATCGCGGCTCGTTCCGAGAGCCACGTCCAAGCTGCCGTCATCTGCACGAAATCGCTAAACATCCAACTGAAAACTCGAAGCGGTGGTCATGACTACGAAGGTGTTTCCTATGTCTCTCACGTTCCTTTCTTCGTCCTCGACATGTCCAATCTCCGTAACATCACCGTCGACCCGGCCACCGAGTCTGCATGGGTCGGAGCCGGTGCAACTCTTGGTGAGGTTTATTACAGGATTTGGGAAAAAACCAAAAGTCATGGATTCCCCGCCGGAGTTTGTCCCACGGTTGGAGCCGGAGGTCACATTAGCGGTGGCGGTTACGGAAACATGATCCGAAAATACGGACTTTCCGTTGATTACGTTACCGACGCCAAAATCGTTGACGTTAATGGACGGGTTCTTGATCGGAAAGGAATGGGGGAAGATTTGTTTTGGGCCATTAACGGTGGAGGTGGTGCTAGCTTCGGTGTTATCCTAGCTTTCAAGATTAAACTCGTCCCTGTTCCACCGACCGTAACCGTTTTCAGAGTAGAGAAAAACTTGGACGAAAATGCTATTGACATGGTTCATAAATGGCAGTTTGTTGCACCCAAGACCGATCCAGGTCTTTTCATGAGGCTATTGTTACAGCCGGTGACTCGGAATAAAAAACAAACGGTTCGAGCATCGGTTGTGGCTCTGTTCTTGGGGAACCAAAACACTGTTATGTCTATGCTAACCAAAGATTTCCCAGAGCTAGGTCTAAAGAAGGAGAATTGCACGGAGATGACGTGGATACAGTCGGTGATGTGGTGGGCGAACAACGATAACGCCACACAGATTAAACCCGAGATTCTACTGGATCGAAACCCGGACTCAGCATCTTTCGGGAAAAGGAAGTCTGATTTCGTCGAGAAAGAGATCACCAAAGAGGGGCTAGATTTCTTGTTCAAGAAGATGATTGAAGTTGGGAAGATAGGGTTAGTGTTTAATCCTTATGGAGGGATAATGAGCGAGGTGGCTACAACGAAGACTCCATTCCCGCACAGGAAGAAGCTTTACAAAATCCAGCATTCGATGAACTGGAAAGATCCGGGAACCGAAGCGGAAACCAGTTTCTTGCAGAAGGCGAAAAGTTTCTATAGCTACATGGCTCCTTTCGTGACCAAGAACCCTAGACACACTTATATCAATTACAGGGATCTGGATATTGGAGTTAATACCCCTGGCCCAAACAGTTACAGAGTAGCAGAGGTTTTCGGGAGGATGTATTTCGGAGAGAATTTTGATCGGTTGGTGAAAGTGAAAACTGCCGTGGATCCGCAAAACTTCTTCAGAGACGAACAGAGTATACCTACCTTGCCTAGCAACCCACCCAGACGTTAGTTTGAAGGTACCTTACTGGGTTTCCATTGATTCCCAAAACCACTATGTAAAATATGTATGCTATCTGAAAAATGATATTTCCTTTTTGTAATTATACAATTGTTTTCAACAGTGGCCTAAAACCTCAAAATTTCGGCAGAAATTACTCTGCTATTGTACTCAAGTTCCGGTCATATCTTACGTAATAAAAAGATTCTATGGCAAAAAGAAAATAAGAAACCAAAATAGTGCGAAAGAAGTGGTTGCTGCTTCTCAAATCTTCTGGCTCGATGATACAGTTTTTTTTTTGCTCGAAAGCAGGAGAATACAGGCAACTCAGAATACTTGCCTGATGTTTATGTTGATCCTCGAAGTTTTGATGTACTCTGTGAAAAAATGCCCACTTTCATGGGACAATTCTGATTCAAGTGCACCGATTTCCGCATTTTTTTCATCCGTAAAGATACGGGGTACGCCTGCAACAACACCATATAAAGCAAACCAAGCTGTTAATTAGCTGTTTCAATTAGTCAATTAGAGACTTCGATAGAGTGACCATCCAATGCGGAGTAAAAGACTAAGCAAAGTGAAGCAGGTTACCGTGAAAGCATTCTCTAGCTTCTCCAGCCATTAGTACAACATCTCCACTTCTGAGATACATAGCATGAGGAGGATCATCTTTTGATTTTCCGCCTAAGAGGAAAATAGCTTTACACCCCAAGCTACGTAATAGGACATACAGTTACTCTATTGTACATCAATATACGGTCTTGGGTTTAGCATAGAAAGAAGGCAAAGAGATACCTCATGCTTACTATGGGTTTACTCCAGTCAGCTTCCATATCATCAAGGTGGCCTCCAAGGGTATCACCTATAGAATGAGTTAAAAGGTTTTCAAAGTTCAACATCTTTGAAAGATTAACCATTACCAAAGCAAGAAAATACAAAATCTAAGGTAAACTCTACCTATGCCAAAATAGTTTACAATTGCACCCTCTGGACGGAATTCCTCCCCGTCAGGCATTGCAATGGCGGCATGTGTCTTAGCTAGTTGACAGAGTGCGTCAGGAATGTTGTTATGAGGGAGAGAAACATCATAGTTACGCTGAAAGAAAAATTCGAAAGAATCAGCATTCATCTAGATAGCATAATAAGATTCCTAATCTCATCAAAACATGTTCAAGATTTGACCTTGGACCAATCAAACTGTAAACCGAGAGTGCTCCATCGAAGCTTCCTCAAAAGAACTGAAGCAGAAACTGATTTGCAAGAACTTTGTTTAGCTTTTGCAATATCATCTTCTTCATAGAACTTCCACTTGTTGTTGGTAAGATCCTCCTGAACCAATACCTTATTATCTTTAGCTGAATCGAACAAATCAGCAATAGGACCATAAATTGCATTGTGATTTGTTCTATTCGGAGGCTGCGGAAAATTCGTCAAACTCTCTTTAATCCATTTACATTGCTCCTCTAAACTCAATGCACCAGGGATAAAGTAAAAACCTGTATAGATAATAATAATCTTACTTCCATAAGTTTCAACATTCACCATTGTTCAAAAGCTGAGCTCTTGGATCCTAATTTAAAACACAGGATTGGAAAATTGGGGATTTTGACTTACCAGGGCGATTCTCGATGCAGAACACAGGAGAAGAATCAACTTTCGAAACCCTAATTCCGTCAGGCAAAACACCGTTATTGTTGAAATCCTGTGAAATCAATTTGAAATCAAGCAACTCCGACAAATCAATTGGTTTTGGTAGCTTCTTCCTGCGGCTGCGAGTTCAAGTGATCGATAAGAGGAAGGATTCAAACAAACGCAGGTGGAGGGAAGATAACAAATTGGCTTACCTTCTAGAGAACTTTGAATCTTTTTCATAGTAAAGTTTGTATTTTTTCTCTGCTCGCCGGAAAGCCGTACGATCTGCGTCGTCGGAGACGTTCGCCGATTCGTACATTTTTCACTTCACCAGTCGACGTCTCGACGATCAATCTCTGGCTCGCGAATCAACGAACCAGAGTTTAATTTTAAACTCATATTTTATTTGCAATAAAAACCAGTGCTCTTTTTTAAATTCTTTTTAGACCTTTAAACTTTTGCAATGCAAATAGACCTATAATCTATTTTTGAAAAAATTGAACATAAGAACCCTACATTTCTAGTTTTTGGATATTGACCATAATCAGAGTTGGAAAATTTACAAAAACAAAAATCTAAGGTGTAACAATTTCATTTAGAAACTGAAAAAATACAAATGTTAATGGTGTTAATTCTAAGGATGCAAAAACACTCTCATAAGTTATTAAAATTAATAGTGTTAATTTGTGAAATATAGTCATCTCACTAATTTGCTAATTTTTTTATAAAATAAATGTTAGAGAAATTTATTGCTTACATCTTAGACCTACCCTTGCTTTAGATGCATAAGCAAACTATCTTGGTGGCCATTTCATGTATAGCAAATGTGGACATCAAAATATATATTTTTCATAAATAGAGATGATCATTATTTTTGAACCTTTTTCATTCACCATTTCTCAAAAAAATTCTTTGAAGAAGTTTTATTAAATTACCATACTCTATAAGAAATTTTCCAAAAATACCACAAAAACTTTTCTTAAGAAGGTTTTAAAAAAATTTAGTCTTTTTGCCCAAATCCTTTGAAACATTTGTGAAAATACTCCATTTACTTTTCAACAAAATATATCCACGCGTCATCAAAAGTATTAATTGTTGACAGGAAAAAAAACAAATCTATTCCTTTTTGTCGGTGAAATTATTTAATTTAATTAATAAATAAAAAATGATATATGTGTGTATGAAATGTAAGTAACGTCTTGCAAGTGTGGACCTTTCCGTCTGAGCATTCAGAGTTTGCTCCTCTTTGAAAGACCTTCCAGAAAACCAAAAAAAAATCCAGACTTTTTGTTGTGACTTGACGTTATCTCTATGACTCTCCATTCTTTCTCACCAAACCCATTTCCCCATTGACACTTTTGTTGACCTAATTCCTCCAAAATCTCACCTTCACATTGCCGGATTTTAGTCCTCTCAAAAATCTCCCAACTTTGCTATGGCTCTGAGGTGTTTTCCCATTTGGGTTTGTCCTCAAACGACTCATCATCGTACTCCTCTTGTGGGTCTCGCAGAATTCGACGCTAATAAACGCCGTCGTTCCTGTCTCTGGGAGTGCTCTTCCTCAGCTTCTCAGAGGGCTGTCACTGCCATTGAAGGCGAGATTCCTTATAGCCATGAGCTCAAAAAGTCCTCTGATGAATTGGGTCTGACTCAGGAGACTCAATCTGTTTCTTTTCACAGAGACTTAAGTATGCTTCCCAGTGAGTCATCCTCATCTCTTCCCCTTCTCAGTTTCATCGAACGTGTTGTTTTATGGAAATGCTGATTGGTTGTTGTGTTCTTACGATCATCCACTTCGAAATTTGTCAATCTTAGGAGCTTGTTTAGCTGGATTTTGATCTGTGGGATCCTTTGTTGTGGTATATACGCTCAGAGATGATGTGGATCATTTAAGAATCTTTGTTTCAGATTCTTACCAATAGCCTAGATTTTGTCTGAAGAATAACAATGATTATGTCCTTGCATGGTTTTTACAGAAAGTCTTTGCTGATTTCTGTTATAGTATAATACACTTGTATTAAAATACCCTCAACTTTTGTTCTCTAGATTGCTGAAATTAAGAAAATGATTGAGTACTAAATTATGCCTTGACATTAATAATGTTTGTTGCCTATGTCGTGTTCTTGATTCCAAGAATAGCAAATGTCCTTTGGCATTAGATTCTTGCTGTTTACTATACTAGTAGCTGCATTTGATGTTTCAGATTCGATCTTTTAGATAGATCATTGTCATTTGCATTGCGATTTGCTACATGGGGCTTTGCTACACATGAATCGATCTAGGATACTTGTATTTCAAACATTGTTAATCAAAATGGTATACTTGATATGTTTAATTAACAGTAGTCAGTAGATTCTCTTTTCCAAATTAGTTGCTGGATTTGATGTTTCAGATTTAATCTTTCTTGTCATGTAGTCTCATAAATATATCAAACACTGTCCTTTGCATTGAGGCATAGGGCTTGCTACACGTATAGCAATCTGTTTTGCAAATGGAGTATTCAATATGTTGTGTTTATATTCCATATTAGTAGCTGCATTTGATGTTTCAGAGTCGATCTTTCTTGTCGTGTAGTCTCATAAATGGTCAATCATTGCCATTTTCATCGCGCCATAGGGATTGCTACACGTGTTATCGATCTATTTGGAGTGAGGCGATACTCACTTGTTGTTAATGAATCTCAAATGCATTGTCTGTCATATCCTCGTTATTATCGATCTTATTACTTTTTAATCTCTTCTCATGGCAAGCCTTGACATTTAAAGTTGATTACAGAACCGCTAACTGCAAACAGTCTTTACTCTTCTGCTGGCGATGATTCAAAAGTCCGAATTTCGTTTCAGGTGAATTATTAGTTTCCTCACCTACATGCAAAACTGTGTTTCTTTAATTTTCTTATGTTTACCATACACTCTCTAATTGCAGGGCATACCAGGTGCATATAGTGAAACAGCAGCACTAAAAGCATTTCCAAATTGTGAAACCGTTCCATGTGAACAGTTCGAAGCTGCGTTTCAGGTTTTGACTTATCGGTAACTTCTAATATATTCTATCCCTACACAAAAAGGTATGGTGCTTTACTATCTTTTTATATGATTGATTCTTCAGGCTGTTGAGCTCTGGTTGGTGGACAAAGCAGTATTACCGATCGAGAATTCAGTAGGTGGTAGTATCCACCGTAATTATGATTTGCTTCTTCGTCATAGGCTTCACATTGTCCAAGAAGTCCATTTGCCTGTAAATCATTGTCTCTTAGGAGTGCCTGGTGTTAAAAAGAAAGATATTAAATGTGTTCTAAGCCATCCTCAGGTTCTCCTGCTCCCATTTCCTTCAGGCGCTGCTAAGTTCACTGGTTTTGAGTACTTACTTTTTTCCTTCTCTCCAGGCGCTTGATCAATGTGTGAATTCACTTAACAATTTAGGCATACAGAGAATTTCTGCAAAAGACACTGCCACTGCTGCTCAGGTGACAGCTCGAAATAACGAGTTTTTTTTTGGTTCAGTTCACATACGAATTTGACTTACTTTAGTTAAACATTAAGCGTTTCTTCAGACTGTTTCTTCAAGCGGTAAGATCGACGTAGGAGCAATCGCGAGTGTACGGGCTGCAAATATATATGGTCTGGATATTCTTGCCGAGAACATACAAGTAATTAGTCTCCATCCTCTACTTTACTAATAAAGTTGTTTCCTATGGAAATATATCAACATATTAATACTGTATGCACATCATTGGGTAAAGTGGAATGATTTATGACATAGAAGGAATGTAATGAAACATATCAACTATCAGTTGTCTTTACGTTGATATTTGTTCTTTCGACGATTTTCAGGATGATGCTAACAATGTGACTCGCTTTCTGATACTTGCCAGAGAGCCTATGATTCCAAGAACAGATCGACCATATAAAGTAATCACATCTTTATGTACTAACTAACTCGGTTGAAACTTATAATAACTCCCAATGGTAATGCTTCTGTTTCTCTCAGACAAGTATCGTGTTCTCGCTAGAAGAAGGTCCTGGTGTGCTGTTCAAGGCCTTGGCTGTTTTTGCTTTACGAAGCATTAACTTATCTAAGGTAAGTTCTGAGGAAAATTTGGATCCTATTATGTAATTCATTCGGAAAATAGAAATATATGACATAAGTTTTGCTCTTCTTTAGATAGAAAGTCGTCCGCAGAGAAGAAGACCGTTAAGAGTAGTTGATGGTTCTAACAATGGAAGCGCTAAGTAAGTAGTTTTATAACACAACATGCACACATATTTTTTGAGAAGTAGTTGAGTGATTGTTTTGTGATGATGACAGGTACTTTGATTACTTATTCTACATTGATTTTGAGGCTTCCATGGCTGATACACGTGCTCAGCATGCTCTTGGCCATCTACAGGTCTCACAATCCTTGTACCCCAGAGCTTTTATAGCAGGTCTTAATGCTCACCAATTCTAAAAGTATTACCTTTTGGTTTTGCAGGAATTCGCAAGTTTCATCCGTATCCTCGGGTGTTATCCAATGGATCTAGTCAGATAACCAAGCAAATCTGCTATTGATTTCATGTTACCATACCGTGCAGAACCATGTGAATATACCCAAACAGAAGAACAGGTTTGTGGCTTTGGTATACCGCTAGAATCTTCTTTCACCATTTTCTCATCTTAGAAGTTTAGCTTCAAACTCTTCATTGCTGAGACAGATACAGTTGATCTAGCTTTTGTTAAGAACATGTTTTGTACATTAAACAGGTTTTTTCAGTTAGTATCAGTGAATAAGATTGTCTGAAACAAAACCCTCTGATATCAAAATCTCTCTGGTTCTGAAAGATCATCTTAATTTGTGATTAGTTTCATAATCTTCATTACAAAAGGTGGGGCATTGTTGACCAATAAGACTGATCTTTCAGTTCGAATCAGGAAATAAGGACTATCCAAACCAAAAAAACAAAAAACCTAAAACCAAGAACTGTTTATCATCAGTTCGAAACAGAGAAACCCTACGCATCATCTTTGGTGTTTCATACAGTTTTAACCTAGTCCCAAAAGTTCCACTAAGGAAGACGGAACTTCGAGCTCTGAATAGTTTTGACCTCATTTCAGCGAAAGGGTTAAAAGCAGACCAAAATGATCACTAGGCAACACCGGGAGCTCTAACTTCTTGATCTCACCCCTCACTTTCTTCTCTTTCTCATATGATAAACCAGGAATCGCCTCTTTCCCAACTATCTCGATTCCGCCAAGCTTGTAATCATCCAGACGACACAAAATCCGGTCTAACCGTTTCTGCAATGCTCGGTTGCCGGACAACATTGGGTTTGCTTTTGTGTCATATGTAAACCCCAAATCGCCTGGTTTCATAACCTCCCAAACATCAACCCACTTGTCTGCCAAAGGAAATTTCCCATCTAGCTTGTCATCCCAGTTCATGTCTCCCCCGAATATCACATTGGTATTAGGTCTGAGAATCTCGATTGCTTCTTTGGCTTGTTCAACGCGTTCTCGACTAAACATTTGGTCCCATTTTGGAGGACCTGGACAGGGACTCTCCAGATGGCTAGTTGCAAACACAAGTGGCTTTCCCCCTGGAACTTCAACTTCTGCGATAGATAGTTCTCTTCCCATTATCGAGTTCCCAAAGCTTTTGCTGCTGAAAGATTTCACCCCCAACTTGCTTAACTGCAAATTACCCATAAGGGTCAGTTACAAGAATCACATATATTATCCAAATTTAGAAGGTAAGAGCCTAAGACAAGCGTCCACAATCTTTACCAGCATGCAGTAGTAGCCTCTTGAAACTGCCACATCAACTGAGACAGAACAAGAATACGCTTTCCACCAATTCGACTTGCGGAAAATATCATATATCTCAGGAGTGACTTCCTACAAGTCCACACAAAAACCGTTTGTCAGAAATCTGAGCAAATTCTACATTTTGCAGATAGAAATAACTCTATGGCAAATGTAAACGATGACCTGAAAACATATGAGATGAGGAGAATGAAGCTGAATAAGGTGACCAATCGCTCTCATCCTTAGATTCAACTCAAGGTCTTCACGAAACCAAACATTGTAGCTCAAGATCTTCAAGCAAGTTAAAGGTGTTCCTGAATCAGAAGCTACCCCTACAAAAAATTAAACAGTGACAAAAAAAAGTACCGTCTTCTGCATCAATGAACACTAGAAATCAACCATTACCGATTATATAAAGCTCAACGCGTAGAAAAACCAAAACCTCACACAATTTAGCAGCAATCAAAAACCAATATCAAGCCATGTTTAGATGAAACACACATCACACAGAAATCACACATTAACAAGTCTCGTCTTTTAAACTGATATTTAAGGTATGAGCCACAATGAGAATACCAAAATTCACAAAGACCTAAAACCCTAGGGAGTACAAAAGAACCGACCTTTCGTTTCAATCTCTTTGTTCTTCTTCATCACACCTTGCGATTCAGAGCAAACAACAGAAGCACCTTCGACCTCGACGACGTCATCATCCATAGCTTTACGCTTGCTACACCGCCGCAGAGGAAAGAAAACAGACCCGACGGAGGAATCAGCGTTGTTACTCTCGAGACCCGAATCAGTCAAATCGTCAAAGCCCAAGAGAGAAGACGTTGGCAATCGCGTCCCACAGACGTCACAGATTGAGTTCTTGTACGTGTTCAAAAAAGTACAGGCCTTGCACGCCCATTTAGCTTCATCGTTCGTGGAAATTGAGAGAGAAGGAGAAGGAGACGAAGAAGGGAGAGATACAGGAGCCAAGCAGATCATGCAATTGAGTTTCTGAGACGCAGAATTGAGGAAAGTACATTTGTTGCATGACCAAGAGGACGAGGAAGACGATGACGACATTGCTCGAATTGTGAGAATTCTGAGAAATCGGATTGTTGACATTTACCCTAATTTTCTTTATCGATTTTGACTTTTTGACGCTTAGGTTTCCATTTAACGGCTACGCATTAAACGACGCCGTTTCCACAAATGGTTTTCAGTTTCAAAAGTAAATTTGAAAGGTGAACCGTATCAAACAAAAACTAACCGAATTAAACCCATCTCAGACAGAATCAGATGTTGAACATTTAGAAGACAGATTTTCTACAAAATTTTATTGCCATAACAAGAATATAAGAGACTAAAATAGTCAAAACATTACAAAAACAAATTACAAAATTATAACACAATAAAATGTTTAAGACCTAAACCTTCATAGGCCAGTGGTGTTGCCACTGTGACCTCGTTGGTAGTATGACACCGGAGTTCGACTCCGTTTCCAGTCATGGATGGGCTTCAGAGTTAAGACTTGTAACTCACCGTGGAAAAATGAAAAATCACCAAAAGGATAACAACAATATAGAAGATGTTACAAGAATCATAATACTGACACAGAAGCCTCTTGAGAGACTCATTGAGGTAGCTTCACCCGCGGCAACTTCAGTTGAATTCACCACTGTCTGTGTCCTATTTCCGACCTTCTTGCTGCACAAAATGAAGTAAGAGTACGAATTAAAAGAAAGAAGACTTTATCTCGTCTAAAAATATAGATAAAGAGTTTCCAGAAGGGAGTTAATGCAATACCTTCCCGGGAAAATGCAGCTTCCATGACCTGAAACATAAGCATCTCCTGATTTAGAAACTATGTATCCAGTTAACTCAAAATTTTGAACTTTTAAGAACTTGGGACCATTTAAACAACAAGTATATGATCTTGACAAATCTTTTCTTGTTATATAGCCTGCTTGTAACCCGAAGTAATTAACATGGAAAGAAAAGAGTTGAATATGAATAACAAGGTACAAGCAAGGTAAAGACATTTTCTAAGACCACCCATGATCAATATAGATACCTTCGGTTTCCCAATAACAAACACGCTTTTACCGAAGGTGATTCAAGATTCGATATCGTGATGCATAACAACCATATTTCGAGATTCATGAACAAGAGAACCTTCCTTTGAGAAACTAGCTTCTATGTATATGGCTGCATAGTTTTGTTAATTACTGATCTAGGACATATCATACGCTTACATCGAATAGGAACCAAACCGAGAATGGAAATATTTCAAAGTCCCCCAAGTTTTAGCATATAAATCACTAAGAACTTTGTTTTGGCACAAGACAGCTCCTATAGACTCTCCCAACTTAGAATCTAAACTCTAAGAAACTCAGATGGCGTTTCTTGGTTGTCACAAGTCTTTCGCTATAGATACTCAAATTGTAAACCGTAATACGAAAAAGAAAGAAAAAGAAGAAGAAGAAAAGAAGAGCTTACTTGGGTCAGTAGTAGTGATCATTGCCACACCTTTGAAGTCACATGAACCAGAAGCTCTTCCTTCCTTCTGGTAATAACTATTAAAAGCAAACGAAGCATGTCCCTTCACATTATTCGGCTGATAACAACTCTCCCCAGGTTGAATCTCACTACAATTAGATCTCCCAGGTCCACAAGCCCAATCCAATGCAGCCTGAAGCGTCTTCGCATCCACACCATCCATAGCAATGCAGTACGTCTGGTTTGTTGTATCGTTCGCTAAGAATGTTCCGCTTCCAGATACATGAAGCAAATAAACCGGTGTAGAGTTCGCGTAGAATAACCCCCAGCTAGCTTCACTAACTGGAGAAGCCCTGAGATCCTCGTTAAACAGCTCATAAATGTAGACACTTGAAGTCATCTCAGGATGTAGAGGAGTACCAGTTCTATCGAATACATGCTTGATCAAATTCGAGTTATATGTATCAGCATTGTCGATAGTAGCATATGGCTCTTTCGAATCACCTTTTGAAGGCCAACCGCTCTCGGTCACAAGCACAACCACATCAGACACATTCAAGTTTTTCATCGAGACATAAGCAGCATCAACCATAGCATCAAGCACATTAGTGTAATGCAACAAAGTATTGGGATCAACCATTTCTTTAGACGGTGTCAATGGCTCGAACAAACAGTTATCGAGCGGAACCACGCCTTTGTTCTGCATATAAACATAGTAAGGATACAGATTCATCATCAAAGGAGAACCCGTTTTCGACAAGAACTGAAGCAACGGAACCATAATCGAATGCCAAGTCTGGTTAAAGTAAGCTTGAGAAGGCGGGAACGTATCGAGCATAATCGAAGCTGCGTGAGGCGTAGAGACTTTGATTTGAGTGTGGAGATTGGAAGCAACAAGAGCATTGTATAAAGACTCAATTGCAGGTAAAAGCAAAGGAGCTGAAGAAGGCACAGTTGTTAAAACCTCATCTCCAACAGAAATGGCTGTGATTAAAGTTTCAGGGTAATAAGCAACAACATTTCGACCAATCCATGACGCAGCGGTACTGTTGGAAGATCCAATTGCGAGAAGCTGATTGTTTGGTACACTGATTATGACTCGTATCTTGGTTTTAGCCAATGCTTTGAGTAATTCTGGATCAGCATCGTATAATCTGACGTGATTTACTTTCTGAGTTTGGAGAAATTTGACTAATTCTGTCGGCGAGAGTAGATTAGAGACATCTGTGCCGATGTTGAAACCAACAAATGGATCTTTGTCTTGTTCCTGAACCTTAATATCGTGAGATAAAGACGACGAATTCGCTGCAGATAGAAGTTAGTTAAAAATCGAAACTTGGCAATGATTTCTAACTAGAAACTGGGAAATAAAGTAAATGGGTTTTGTCTAGATTTGGATTCCAAACAAAATATGTAATTTAGCCAAGTGTTAACTCAAATGGACAAAAAAAGAAACATTTTTTACTTAAAATTCGTCAATTGGGGGGAATTTGAACTGAAAAAATGAGTTTTTTTATAGGTAAACTTACCAGAAACCAAAAGAAGAGTGAAGAAGAAGAAGAGAACAGGAACGGTGGAAACCATGCTAGTGAAAGCCATTGAAGAGGAGCTTGAACTTATTATGCAACACTTCCCCTTCAGATTCAGAGTCAGCTAGAGATTCTTGCATTATCTTCCTCCTCTTCCGATGGATTTATTGCTGTATGGTTGAGATAACCTAAAGAGAAACGGAGAAGAAGAAGAGAGATTAGACATTTTTGGGGTTTTAGGCTGAAAGATTTATGTCTCTGTGCTTCCACGTGAACCGACTCTGCTTGCTCCTCCTCCCCACAGAAACTGTTTTTTTCAGACCAAATGTGAAAATTACTGTAATGCCCTTGAATTCTGATAAAGCACCAGCTAGACATCACTCTGTAATCTTTAATAGATTTGGTCCATTTGAATTTATTTATTTTTTCACCCCATAAATTTTGTAAAAAAAACACAAATTAAATAAAAGTTGAATTGTTTGTCTATTGTTTGTACACAAAAAGATTCTTTCTAAGATAATAGTTTGTCACTTTGTCTACACTAGTACCTCTAAACTAAAAAAAAAAGTATTTGTGATTATTACTATATCTGGTTTTAATATTGGCTTGGAATGTTGATGTTGACCACATGTGATAAAAGTGGACGATTGAAAGAAGATAACAATGCCCTTTAATGGAATTTTAATATTATATGTAATGTAGGTGGTTTCGCTATGTGTTTATTATATTTAGGTCAGTGAAATATATCTATCAAAAACATTTGAATTACAAGTTGAGGAAAAGAGAGAATATACAACCCATGCTTTCGTTGATTAGCTAAGAGACAATCAGGGCCGGCCCGCAGGACAGGCCATCCAAGCGGTGGCTTGGGGCACCACAATTTTTTTTTTTTTTAAAGGTTTTTTTTTTTTTTTTTTTTGGTAAAAAGACCCATAAAATAAAAGTATTTAGTAAAAACTAAAGTTTTTTCGAAAAAAATAAATAAAATAGGGCCCAAACAATTAAATTTGAATGTAATAATATTCAAAATATCATTATTTTTGTATAATTTACTAAAAATAGGTCCAAAAAAAAAATTTAGCCCTAAAACTTATAAATATATTGGACATTATTTTATTTTTCGTGTAGGACCTCACAAATGCTCGGACCGGCACTGGAGACAATGGCCCATTTTATTTATTTGTTGATAACACATTTTCTCATCTCAAACAATATAATAAAAATAGATATTTCAAGAAAACGAAACCAGTAATATTGTTAGCCTAAATCATTTTGCACCGACTAAAATATATAAAGGGAACTAACAAATAAAATATGTAGACAAAATGAATACATTTTCTCCTTTTGTATCACTTTTACATATTGTCTCTTCTGTAAAGTTATAGACTTCTAGTAGAGCAAGGAAAAAGAGAGAGAACAAAAAAAAAACACAGCGACCCAACAAACATACTAACATAGAGATCCATATGTAACACGTAAGAGAGTAAATTAAAAAAAAAAAACACGTAAGAGAATAGATTAAACAAACAAAGAAACAAAAACTCTGAAAAAGAAGAAAGCTTTCTGGGGAGTTTAAAAGTTAAAACATCTTATATCAGATTCTTTCCTTTTATCTGCATGTATGTGTTAAGAGTAAATTACATAAGTCAAAGAACAAACATTCTTTGAATCATGAAATCACACTGAATTATATATGATATATATATATATATATATATATTTGCCATCTTTCTGATATATTTTATTTATATAAAGGAGATAAATAAATTGTTTCAGGAGATTGGCAAATATATATATATATATATATCATATATAATTATCTCCTTTATATAAATAAAATACACAGATTTTCATTACGAAAAACTAAACAACAATGAAAGTGACTGACGAACGTAAAAAAAAAAAAAAAAACAATGAACCGTGACACTTTCTTGTCTGTTTATAGCAATTATTAAATCTACAGTTATATAGAAAATACACAAAGGGTTTGATTTAGAATTTTACAATCCGTTACCTCATTGTTAAGAGGTGTATCGCTTTTATAATGCAGTTTCGGTATACTATGCATGGCTTCAAAAAATCAAATGTGATGCGAATTTTTTCATTTTACTTTAAAAAAATTAATGCATAAAAAGCCTTCTTTTGATGATAGTACAAAAAAGAACAATGAACAAAATGATTCCATTTCAAAACCAAAATGAACTATAAAGCTTACGATGTGTCGTGATTCGTGAATAAGACATCGACCAAATTTCAGTATTAATTTCTAATAATATATAAATTCTGTTTTAGATGTCTGCAATTGCTTTTGCCCAAAAAAAAAAAAAAAAAAAAAAAGATGTCTGCAATTGCAAGCCAGGGCCCAGGAGTACAAATTACAAAACACCAAAAAAAAAATAGTCTAAATGGGCCGAGATACCATTTCAATGACTGATGGGCTTCGTTCTCTCTTACAGACAAGTTCATAATTTCATATCTATCCTAAAAAAAAAATAAAAAAAAAATTGGCCTTCTAAGTTCTAATTTCATAATTTTGCGTGGCCTTGCCGAGATCACATGAAACACGATTCTACTTGAATAAGATTCCTCCTCTATGCTGTAAAACATACACAGATTTTACAACAAAAGCATGTTTGTAAACACCTGTTTCGCGCCGCCACGTGTCGTCCCATGACGCGGCTGTTAGATTTTATCCCTAACAGTCGCTCACCATCTTTCCGCAATAATACAGTCATCCATCGGTTGTAACACGTCTGTGATGATCTCACTACATCACAGGCAGTAGGAGAGACCATGTCGGCAAATTACTATAAACTCTTATTTAAGTGACGACGATTGTGCCAACACAGAGTAAATTAGTCACCTACTCGAGAGTGGTTTAGCTTTTTCGTTCCGTACATCTTCTTCTTCTTCTTCCCAGGTGAGTTTAGTGTTGCAGATATGATCTATTTCTTACGTTGCGATGAATTATGTCTTCGAATCGCTCTCTATTTTTTGTGATTTAAAATCTGTTTCTTCGATTCAATTGTGGAATTTCGGTCTAGTGATCCGGTTTTCCTCGGATCTGATTTCGGAATCTGATTGTTCGTTTTTGTTGATCGTTTTACGATTCATGTTCAGTCGATGTTATTGCTTGCCCCATTTCAATTGGTTATATAAGATTCATTGTATTTGGTGCATCATGATTTTGGGTATCTAAATTTGAGACCTTTTTGGGTTAAAAATGAATATGGAGTTGAGATTAGTGATGTTTTATAAGATTTAGAGTTGATGGTTTTCGTTAAATTTATCAGGAGAGAGCAAGTTTATAGGGGAAATGAATGAGATTGCTTCCGCCTCCATGTTGAGGCTGTGTCAATGTTTTCTCTCGATTTGTAATGTACATTTTGTTTCAATGATAGCAGCTGAATCAAATTTTGTTTTTAGAAATATGGCTGAGGCTTCTGACTTGTTGGAATGGCCTAAGAAGGACAACCGTCGTTTTCTCCATGTTGTTTACCGCGTTGGTGATCTTGATCGCACCATTGCGTATGTCTTTCTTTTCTCTTTCAGTAAATACCGTATTCAGTTTTTTTCTGTAACATGAGTGTTTATATACATTTTGAGATATTCTATATTTCTCACCAGGTTTTACACTGAGTGCTTTGGTATGAAGCTGTTGAGGAAAAGAGATGTCCCTGAGGAGAAGTATTCTAATGCTTTTCTCGGTTTCGGACCTGAAACATCTAACTTTGTTGTGGAGCTCACATATAGTAATGCACTCTTCACTCTCCCTCTCCTGTTATACGCCTGTTAAAAAGTGAACTACTTGGTTTTAATGTGTTTTATGAATCAAAACATTTTTGTTTCACAGACTATGGTGTTAGCTCATATGATATTGGAACTGGATTTGGGCATTTTGCCATTTCAACTCAAGATGTAAGTCGTCCTACTTTGAGTTTTAAATATCAAGAATCAAAATATGCGTGTGATCTTGAACGAAGAGATAAATGGCCCTTTTTTTTAGGTTTCCAAACTGGTTGAGACCGTCCGTGCCAAGGGTGGAAATGTCAGTAGGGAACCTGGTCCGGTCAAAGGTGGAGGCAGTGTCATTGCGTTTGTGAAGGACCCTGATGGCTACACTTTTGAGCTCATCCAGAGAGGTCCAACTCCTGAACCTTTCTGCCAAGTCATGCTTCGTGTCGGTGATCTCGACCGTGCCATCAAATTCTATGAAAAGGTAATGCAGTGAAATGGCTGTGGTAATGTTTAAATATTCATTACTAGTGTTTACTTCATTTCTAATTCCTTCGCAGGCCCTGGGGATGAGACTCTTGAGAAAGATTGAGAGGCCTGAGTACAAGGTGAAGTAATCAGTGATGCAATGTAGACATATAATTTAGCTTTCCGAGCTACGCTGGGCCTTGAAAAGTTTTTTTATTTGTTGTTGGATGAAACAGTACACCATAGGCATGATGGGATATGCTGAAGAATATGAGTCGATAGTTTTGGAGCTGACCTATAACTACGGCGTGACTGAGTACACAAAGGGCAATGCATATGCACAGGTCTGGGATTAGACATGTCTCAGTTGCTTTCTGTTGGCTTTAAGCCAGTTTGTGTTCATTCCTCTGATAATTAAATGGTTAAATGTAACAAACAGATTGCAATAGGCACAGATGATGTGTACAAAAGCGGTGAAGTTATTAAGATAGTCAACCAAGAGCTAGGAGGAAAGATCACTAGAGAACCCGGACCTCTTCCTGGACTCGGCACCAAGATTGTCTCATTCCTTGATCCAGATGGCTGGAAAACGGTTAGTAATCGATACAGATTTAATCATTTGGTATCGCAGATTCCGTTTCTAGTGTTGGAACCTTGGAATTCAGATTCAGTGTCGGGTTTTGTTTAAAAAGGTTTGGTTGTTAAAATGACAGGTTTTGGTGGACAACAAAGATTTTCTGAAGGAACTGGAATGAGGAGAGCGATAATGTTCGAGATCACAAAACCATAATAATAAAAATGTGATCATGGAATAAAGGAAAGACTTAGTGTTTGATCTAAAATAAGATGATGTCGTTAAGTTTGTGTCGTGCTATGTGTGTGCTCGTTTCTTTTGTCCCTTAAGCTAAACTCTATGGACCTGAATAAAAAATATTTCCACCACCTTGAGCTTGAGGTTTTGGTGTTTTTAGGTTATGGACGGTTTTAGTAGAAAATAATATTTCAGTACCAAATCGGTTTACTCGATTTGAGATGGAGCATATGGCACTTTCTTGAATTTTATCCGACTTGGAATAACTTGGAATAAGAGATACGGTTTAAATCGGTTATCTTTAGCTCTGCTTTTCTTTTCCCGGAATTTGCGGGCCAGTTTTGATTGTGTTGGTTCAGAATAGAAACCAATATTATTTATAGCAGTTACTCTCTAAAAATTGCATTGGATCCATATACTGATGATATGCAATATGTCTTTTAGTATTCAATCTAACTACTACATCTTCAATATATGTTTAGTCACATGAAAACTCAGCCACTACTACCGCAAAAAAGGGAGATCAATATTGTTGGCTATATTAATGGATTCACCTACTTTATACTGCAACTATCATTAGAATTTAGAAAACCCTTTATAATATACATTCCATATAGAGCCCTATCAACTACGTAACCGATTAAAAAATTTCTAACCCTAGACCATTTATCTTTCTCTCTCTACTACATATATACATGCTGATTAAACAATAATGTTAAAATAGAATCGAGTAAATTTATAACGTCAAGCTGTTTGGTTAGGCTAGACCGGATCTGATCTTATATAGGCCATTAGGTCTCAAGGATCATGCGATGTATATAAAGATTATTTGAGTTTGGGACCAAATAAAAGTAGTATCATGGTATTTCTTTTGGCTTCCCAATTAATTTCTCTTAATTTTATCGGTTGGGCTGTCTGTCTTATTATTATGTTCTTATTTACCTAACCATCACGGCATCTCACATGCACATTGAAAAGAGACTATAACACTACTATATGAGAGTTGATTGATGCTATGTTTAATCTCATTGTATGCAAATACATATCGTTTGACATGTTACTAATACTAATTTATATCAAACTACATTGTACTCATACAATAGGTCCTAGATCCAAATTTTTAATTGCATTTATTGCACACAAACATTACATAACAGCCTATATATATGGTCTTGTAACAACTAAGTGAGTCACCATAAACAAAAAGAATCTGAACCAACAAAGCAAAACATGAAAGGCACATTTACTAACTTGCTTGTGCTTCTCTTCATTGCACATTTGCACTTGTTTGTGCCAATGTCGGTGCTAGGAAGCTTTTCTCCGGAGATACATTCAAGGATGAAAAATCTTTCCTCGGAGGCGGCGGCAGCGGTGGTGGCCTAGGGCTTGGCCTTGGTGGAGGAGCTGGTCTTGGTGGGCTTGGGATTGGGGCTGGGATCGGCGCGGGAGCCGGACTAGGGTTAGGTGGAGGCGGTGGTGGACTTGGAGGTGGTGGCGGTGGACTCCTCGGTGGAGGCGGCTTTGGCGGAGGAGCCGGTGGCGGACTCGGTGGCCTTCCTTGAACGTATTGTCAAGTGTGCGTGAGAGCTGATTCTCAGCTTATTACACTAATTAAGTTACTTTCATTGTCATAATAAAATATAGAGGGTATGAATTTGGATTTCTGCTTTGATTTAAACCTCAATATTTGAATCATAAAAGGTCTTAGCTACGCCGTTTAGATATGATTTAAGTTTGGTAATGCTCGTAATCGTATTATGTGTAACGCCGTTAAGATATGATTAAGTTCTGCAACGTTTCGCTTTTATATATTCACTAGCATGACTTTTTCTCTTGTTTATAACTAAATCGATAAACAAAACAATCTCGAAATTTCATCGAGAAATAAAATATTGGTCACACTAACTACAACAACTAAAACATTGATTGGTAAACATTGGACATTCTAACAAAAAACCGTAAAAACCAAAGGAAAGTCTTTGAAATGCCGATGATCACTTGATTGATGATTGCAGGGAAGAGAAGATCGCAATTAACATAATGCTAAGTCACATATAAGCAAACAACAACTATACTGAATTCTTTTTGGAATAATAATGGATAAAATGCTAACAAAAAAAAATGTCTACAACTCCAAAAGTTTGATCAAGCATGTTCCTTTTTCATTTTTGGTGATTTGCAATACTTGTATGTTTATTTTGATTTTATAAAAATTTAAAAAATAAGAAGATAAAGATTGAACAATTACTTACCACTCAATGGGGATGCGGTTGCTTTGGCCTTTTCTTCGTTTGGCTGATGATTCCTCTTCCACCACCAAGGCACCAACCCCATCTTTTTCTTCACATTATTAAGTCACATAAATCTCTATTTTAATCCCTAAATATAAATATATAAAGTCCCTTTTGCCATTGATAGCAACAAAATCATCAATTAATTTGCAATAACACACACACACACTACATAGTAGTATCAGGAATCTGGGAAGAAGCTCCAGTGGCAAAGACTCAAATCTTTGTAAGATTTCTACACGACCCATTTCAGTTTTTATGTTTTCTATTCACAGAATCACAGATTATTTCGATTGTAGACAACATTTGTTTTCTTCTTCTTTGTGAAAATACGATTTCGATTCAATCTCATTGCGATTATTGAGTTCCCTGATTGTTGCAGATGTTTTATAAATGAATCTTAATCTTATAGTTGAAGATTCATGGATTTAAAAATGCTCTCTTTTTGCCTATAGAGCCTTTATATGAATCTCCTTTCTTCATTCCATAGCTTAAGAGTTTATCAATGTCAATTCACTGAATCCAGTTGAATTTGAAAAAATTGCATTTATGGTTATTGATTTTGAGTGTTCTTGGATCAAACTTGTTATGTAGCTTGTGGAGAAGATGAGAGGTGGGAGTCTATGGCAGCTAGGTCAATCTATAACTCGTCGTCTTGCTCAATCTGACAAGAAGGGTGTGTCACGCCGCTACTTTGCCTCTGAAGCTGACCTGAAAAAAACTGCTCTTTACGACTTCCATGTGGCCCATGGAGGAAAGATGGTTCCTTTTGCTGGTTGGAGTATGCCAATTCAGTACAAAGATTCGATTATGGACTCAACTGTTAACTGCAGGCAAAATGGGAGTTTGTTTGATGTTGCACATATGTGTGGTTTGAGCCTTAAGGGTAAAGATTGTGTTCCTTTTCTTGAGACACTTGTGGTTGCTGATGTGGCTGGTTTGGCTCCTGGAACTGGGAGCTTAACTGTGTTTACAAATGAGAAAGGAGGTGCCATTGATGACTCGGTCATTACCAAAGTGACAGATGAACATATCTATTTGGTGGTCAATGCTGGTTGTAGGGATAAGGATTTGGCTCACATTGAAGAACACATGAAGGCTTTCAAGGCCAAAGGAGGTGATGTCTCCTGGCATATCCATGATGAGAGATCTCTTCTCGCCCTTCAGGTTTGGCTATTCAATTTGAACCCAAAGATTGTTCCTTTTGTTGTTCTGATATTGATTGATGTATACTTGTAGTTATAGTACATTACGATCTTGAATTTTCGATGTAGGGTCCCTTGGCTGCTCCAGTGCTTCAACACCTGACTAAAGAAGACTTGAGCAAGCTTTACTTTGGGCAGTTCCAGATTCTGGACATTAATGGTTCCACATGTTTTCTTACCAGGACCGGGTAAAATCTCATGTTTCACTTTCTGTTTCTAGTCAGACTTACTTGGTTCAAGTAGACAAAATAGCTCAGGAGGAAAAGTTCTGAAGTTCTCATAGGTAATGAATGTCTCTGTTTTGGTTTTCAGGTATACCGGGGAAGATGGGTTTGAGATCTCAGTTCCAGATGAGCACGCAGTGGATCTAGCAAAAGCAATCTTGGAGAAATCCGAGGGTAAGGTAAGGCTTACAGGTCTAGGAGCAAGAGACAGTCTCAGGTTAGAAGCAGGACTTTGTCTATATGGAAACGACATGGAGCAACACATTTCTCCTGTTGAAGCTGGGCTCACATGGGCCATAGGGAAGCGTAGAAGAGCCGAAGGTGGGTTTCTTGGCGCGGATGTGATTCTCCAACAGCTTAAAGATGGACCTACAATCAGAAGGGTCGGTTTCTTCTCCTCAGGACCACCCGCAAGGTCGCATAGCGAGGTTCATGATGAGAGTGGGAACAAGATTGGAGAGATCACAAGTGGAGGGTTTAGCCCAAACCTGAAGAAGAACATAGCCATGGGATATGTGAAGTCAGGTCAGCACAAGACCGGGACTAAAGTCAAGATCTTGGTCCGTGGGAAACCGTATGAAGGCAGCATCACGAAGATGCCGTTCGTAGCCACCAAATACTACAAGCCAACATGATATGTGTGTCTTCTTCGTCCATTTACTCGTCTCTTGCTTTTGTTAAAATGACTTGTGTTTTTCTTATATTCTGATTTGGCCTGAAAAATGTACGATATTTTGCCAAGAGGGCAATGCTTATTTTCATTTTTATTGAAATAAATTTAACACATGTAAGACCAAACTATGAATATGTTTTTACAGATTTGAGCATGTACAAGTTCTTGGTCGATCATGGAAGGAACCCTGATCATGAAAAGCAAGTCAGAGCGAGGCCGATTCATAGAGGAAGTGGAAGAAGAATAAGAGGAAGAAGAAGAAGGCCCTTGGTGTTGTTCGTAGTTAATATTTATGCTTATTATGAAGATCAGACATGGTAACCGGAAGGTGTGTTTGAAAATTCAAATCATGATCAATAATGAATGTGACACAGTATCTGACCGGTGATAAAGTAAAGAATAATGATCAAGTACAGACTTTAAAGTTTGAATGTATCACTAGGATTTAACATAGGATCAATACCAAGTGTCGTTAGGGTAAAGACTCTAGGCGAAACTTAGAGGTCGTTGGTTCGAGTGACGCTTGGAACGAAACTAATATTACATGTTGTGGTTTCGGACCTGGGGGGATTACGGGCTTTGGCCCAAAACCTCCTGGTATTCAAAAAAAAAAGAAAAAACATAAGATCATTTCATCAAACTCCACAGCCTAAGTAACAAAATTCGTAAAACGTTGTCGTTCGGATAGAGGAAATGTCAACACTGAATCAGAAAGACGTGACACGTCAAACCTGGTAACAGGTAGACCTTCGTGTAGCGGATTAGTAACTTCTGCTGACACGTCATCTCGCCGCCGGGCCATGTTATACAGTTCAAAACGACAACGTTTAAATATCAATCCGCAAAACAGAAGAAGATAAACTAAATCAAGACGTCGTCGTCGGCAGAGAAGCTCCGGCGATGAGTTTACACAAATTGAGACTCGCTGCAGTTCCTATAACCTTCTCTTCTCGTCTCTTCTTCCTCAAGCCATTTCCCAATACTCTAACCCTAGGTTTGTTTTCCCGCCACCTTCAACCCCATAAGCCTCTCCTAGTCAGGGCTTTCTCCGCTTCCGCCGCCGTAGAGGATATTCCGGCCACGCAGGCCTCAGATTCCTCTGGTATTCCTGTTTATCTCGTCAAAATCCGTCATTGTTTTTGAATGTGTCTGATTCGTTTCGTGTTTTTTTTTTGAGTAGCGAGGCCTCAGTGGAAAGCAGCGATTGATTTCAAATGGATAAGAGATAATAAGGAAGCAGTCGAAATCAACATCAAGAACAGAAATTCGAATGCTAATTTGGAAGCAGTGCTTGAGCTTTACGAGAACATGGTCAATCTCCAAAAGGTTATCTAATCTTCTACTCAAAAGAAATGTTCAAGTAGCAAAAAGCTTCTTGTTTTGAAAGTTTCTGGATAGTTTTAGTGAAATGTTTATCTAGTCTGTGGCTAGATTTGAGAGATTGAATTAAATTTTGTTTCTTTCCTCTCGGTTCAGCTAATCAATGATTGCAGATAGCAGGAAGTTGAGCAGCTTCGTGAGGAAAGAAACAACGTTGCCAAGAAGATGAAAGGGAAGCTGGAACCATCACAACGTGAGACACTCGTAGAAGAAGGTATACGAGGATTCTATTTTGTTTGTGGGTCTGTGTTTCTTTACTAAAAGATAACAGAGCGCTTTTTGTCTTCAGGTAAAAATCTTAAGGAAAGTCTTGTAACTCTGGAGGAAGACCTTGTGAAGCTAAAAGATGAGCTGCAACATGTGGCGCAGTCTATACCAAATATGACTCACCCTGATGTTCCTGTTGGAGGAGAGGATTCGTCGGCAATTAGAAAGGAGGTAGTTAGTTTGGTCTCCTTGAATTATTGCGTTGGCTATGGCTTTTTGCTGTCAAAGGCCCCTTCAAAAAAGATTTCATTGTTTTCTTTCTAGGTTGGTAGTCCACGTGAGTTTAGTTTTCCAATCAAGGATCATCTTCAGCTTGGGAAGGATCTTGATCTCATTGACTTTGACTCTGCTGCAGAGGTATACGCTTTGACTTATTCATAGGTACCAAACCACATTTTATAGGTTCTCGGATCAGCGTTGGCTTCTGCCTAGCTACTGGTTTTGTTTTTATATGATCAATTGTATTTAGACTGAACATTATTAGTTCAATTAGTAGAGTTTACTTGAGTGGGTGAATGATCACCTCCTTCTATAAACCATTAGATTGATGACCACATTTTCCTTTATCCGGTATATTAAGTTAAGAAGATGGGGTGAGTAACTTCCTTCTTGTTTTTACACTCATGCAGGTAAGTGGTTCAAAATTCTTCTATTTGAAAAATGAGGCAGTTTTATTGGAGATGGCGCTCCTTAATTGGACACTATCACAAGTCATGAAGCAGGGTTTTACTCCCCTAACGACCCCTGAAATCGTGAGATCTGCTATTGTTGAAAAATGCGGTTTCCAACCTCGTGGAGATAATACTCAGGTTTCTGCAATACTTGTGCGATGGCTCTGTTTGATAAGTTAACATTGTTGTTTGTTGCCAATCGTGCTTCCATTCTTTTGGATAGGTTTATTCTATAGATGGAACTGACCAATGTCTCATTGGTACCGCTGAAATTCCAGTAGGAGGAATCCACATGGACTCTATTCTTCTTGAATCGGTATTACCTTTGAAATATATAGCGTTCTCTCATTGCTTCCGTACTGAAGCGGGTGCAGCTGGCGCTGCCACAAAGTAAGCTAGAAGAAAGGGTTTTAGTCTTTGTGTGTGTTTTTGGCTTCTTTAATTTAATATATACATAGGTGTACTAAAACTCAGTACTTTCTTGATTTCGTGCAGAGGTCTTTACCGAGTTCATCAGTTCAACAAAGCAGAAATGTTTGTCATATGCCGACCTGAAGATAGTGAATCCTTCCACCAAGAACTCATTCAGATTGAAGAAGATTTGTTCACTTCCCTAGGATTACACTTCAAGTAAGAAACTAAATTTTGAACCCGATTTTCTCTCACAGAGTTTTTGTCTTCCGGAAATCTAAATTTATCTTTGCAGAACATTGGATATGGCCACAGCGGATTTAGGCGCTCCAGCTTACCGCAAGTTTGACGTTGAAGCATGGATGCCCGGTTTAGGACGATTTGGCGAGGTAAAAGAACAAACTCTTATTTATTTGTGTCAGAGCACTAGAACCAAATCTTAGTTTCTTCTTTGAGCTTGCTGTTTTAACTTCTGAACTAGATATCAAGCGCATCAAACTGCACGGATTACCAAAGTCGGAGACTGGGAATCCGTTACCGCCCATCTGAACCACCTCAGACGGGTCCTAAGAAAGGCAAAGCGAATCTTCCAGCTACGAAGTTCGTCCACACTCTAAACGCAACGGCCTGTGCCATCCCGAGGATGATGGTGTGTTTACTGGAGAATTACCAGCAAGAAGATGGAGCTGTGGTGATCCCTGAGCCCCTTAGGCCTTTCATGGGTGGCATTGAACTCATCAAACCCAAGCTCAAGTAGTTTTTTTATAGTTAGATCTTTGCAATTCTTGCTGTTATTCCTCTTGTACTTGAGATTTGTTCATTATACACTTTCACAAGAGCTGAATTTTGTTGTGTTCTTTTCTCAAAACATACAATTTATAGTTTATATCATCATAACCGAATGTTCTTTGATTCAATAATAATGGAAGGGAAATATACATTAACAGATTTTCCTTTCTTAGATGGTATTTCTTCTTTGGCTTGGCAATTGTGAATGTTGACGAATTTGGGAACGATAGTATTTGCCTATCTGAATATGGTGGTTGATAGAAACAAATTATTGGTTTCAGTAGAGATTATTAAGGTCAACTTTAATTGAACCAAAAAGAAGGTTTATACGCTGATTGCAAACCCAAATTATTTTGGGATAAAATGTTGAACTGGGGAATTGTAGGGCTTTACCCCGAAGGGAGCCCTTCCAGAAATTCTCGAAGGCCCAAGACAAGCTTAGGCCTAGGAGGGGGTTTGGAAATAGTTTTCAACCAGCAATAGACGCGCCTCGGTTAAGACCTCATTAGCTGCGTCATTGCCCCAAGCGCAAGAATGCTTTTCAAACAACCAAAGCCTCTTTCTTTTATAGTCACACAATTCCCATCAACTTATACCTCTTTCCGATGTGGGACTCTGTAACTAAACTAAATAGTTCAGAAAACTTCAATTATGCCGACAATAAAAGACCAGCACGTTGGGTAATTATGCCAACAAGATAAATTACCATTTTATTATTGGAATCATGAAAGATTAAGACTAATGATGGTAGGGGCTGCGCGAACGCAAACCCCCTCTGCCACAAATAATGACATAGGCTCTTCCTCATGGGAAGACCTTAAGCTAAGCACCCCGGACTAATGTGCAATGCCGGTCACTAGCCTAGGCCACTCGTCTTCTTGATCACGAGTTGACCCCGTCCAGGTAAGTGGTTTGCTTGATCCAGCCACTTCTGTATTTATATTCCTGTAGTCCGAGTCATTGTTTCTAAGCTAAGCGATGTGGGATAATTATCATTGGAACACATCCTGCCGTTCGAAGTTACTGGTATCCAACAACGTGCTGGTCTCTTACACATGAGGTTATGTGTAATACACATGGGCTGGACATTCTCTATCTAGGGCCCAATCAAATGTCTCGTAGTTGTTAGTTGTATAAAGAAAGAATCAAAACAACAAGAGTAAACACCACACCCTTCATTGATCTAATCTAACTAGTTTTTACAGTGAAACAGTCGCCTCAGTGTCACATCTTTTACAAAACAGACCAAAAGAACATATCAAATGACGCTGAGAAAACCATTAGATCAAGTGAAGGGATAAAAGTTTGAGAAGAGCAAAGTGCCAAGAAGGATATAGGCTGCACAATAGGACCATATCAAGTATCCCCATTTACTATGTTCTGGAGATGCAATCAAAGACGATGCAAACCAGTAAAGTGGAGGGCTTGCCGACAAGAACCGTGTTGCAACCTGTAATTACCACACCACAAACGTGAGCACAGTCTCACTAAAACCTTAATCTTATCTACAATTATGTATATTATTTTCTGTTTATGCCATTGAGGATTGTAACCTGAACATGCATGATGAAGAATGCCGTGGTTGCCATCAAACCCAAGTGTACAATAAATGGGAAAACGTCAGCTGAAAAGTATCCTGATTTTTCTGGAGAGTTGGATGCCGCAGCCACTTTGGTCACAGTCACATCCTTCTTACTGCTGGGTTTCCGCTGTCTGATGTCACGGTTTCCTACTCAGGAAAATAAAGAGGATCCATCAAAGTTTAATTTTGGAACTATTATATAACGTAAAGAAGAAAATGATACCTTCATTTGTTGAAGTTTTAACATTTGGTTTAACTGCATCCTTCAGAGAATAAAGCCCTGCAACAGATCTCTTTTCTTTCTCGGTAGCTTGAAAACCCAGCGAAATGAAGAGCTCAGGCCGAGACTTCATGTAACTCATAATCGAACAAACAGCTAAAGAAAGAATTGGGGATGCGAGCAGAAAGTTTGGGAGCTGCTTAAACTGAAAGTATTTTAGGAAACCTACTCCCCTGTCAGAAACAAGAAAATAAAGGCTCGAAATCAAATATAAGAAAGAAAACTTGCAAGAACAAGAAAAGGGTTTTTGTTCAAATTACTTACCAATAATGACTTTGAATGAAGTTGTACAGCAAAGGTATCCTTCCTTTGCACCAAGGCCTCATTTCATCAAGTGTACGTCCATGACAAAGGTTATAGTATCCGTATGCTTGAAACGCGACAAAAGGAAGACAAATGCATACGCATCTAAGAAATCCAGCAACCAAAACCTGCATAGCCAACTGGGTAGCGAGACAAATCATTATGGCTACCATACCTTCCAGAGTTGAAAGCAAGTTAAAGAGATGGGCTTTAATCTTTCAGAGATTACATGATTAACCAAGCAGCTGCGATTTGAGACATACTAAATCAAGAAACTCTTCCATTGCAACCTTAAACTAAAGAGCATCTCAGCAAAACAGTAAAGTGAGACTCCACTAAAACAAAATGAATAACAAAGTAACTGAAAAGATTGTTCGAATTAATTCTTTTCTCTTGTAGAAGGATCTAAAGTGTAGGAAATAGAATGATCCAGATTAAAAATCCGGTTTTTGAATCGCAGTCATAATTTCTGAAATTTGAATGAAATACTTATAACTTACATACGTGCGCCTTTTCTGATATAAAGCTTCATATGCTCGATGCATTGTCTGGAAACAGATATAACCAGCATTAAGAACTCCATTAGACCTTGCACAACCAGAGAGTGCAAGCCAGAGAACGGCTACATTGCTTGTACCAGATAACAAGTGATACACGCCTCCAATTGAAAAAAGAGCATATAGACTCTCTGAATATCTGGAAGTCACAAAGAAACAATTTTGGTCTTCAGTTAGTTACCATTCTGATAAGATTGAACATTTTTACTTTCAGTAAATGAATTTATGAGATCATTGCTTGAATACATTACATTGACGAATAGAATATGGATGCCGGATTGAAACAGAACACAATCGAAGCTCTGAATGATGCTTCAGAGTCCTTCAAGATAATAACTGAAAGCCTGTTAGCAACGACTGGTGTAAGACACTCAAAATGGTGAATAGCAAACACCATTAGCTTGTAGAGCTCAAAAGACTCATGACTTGACTTATTTCGAGACACAATAATGGATTTTGGATGAATGTCAATGAAGTACCTGAATAGATAGATAGCAGCTAATATGAAGGCTAAGTTGCTGACAATGTAACCAGACAACACCATCACAGCTCGAAGACCAATCAATGGAACCAAAGGCGCAAAAACTGAATCCAAAAAGAATAAAAAAACTATGGAAATGATACAACCAAAGTAAGGAATCAAGTGGGTAGATATCTAAATTCCAAAACCTGTGCGAGAGAAAAGCGAGATGAAGAAGGGAAGCAGAGGCAAGAAGGCGTAAGTCTGCTCATACTCATAGCCACACTCGGTGATTCGGAGAAAGTAGACACTGTCCCAAACAACGCTGTTTTCAAGGGATCTCGAAGTTGCATTGGCTACTAGAAATGGAGGAGAATCTTCTTTGTGATACAAGCAAGGAGGATTTAGTGCAGCGGATGTATCGTACGGTTGGAGTAAGCTCCGCCACAAAATGGTTAAGAAGAGAACGAGAAGTCGCGAGAAGATGGCGTATTTTATCAAGACGGTTTCTTTCCTTGATTTCGAGCTTGATTCCATAGAAATGGCCATTGATCACGAGCTCGTATTCGAGAATAAAAAGTCCTCGCTTTGCTAAACTCGAACAAAACTTGAAGACAAATCTAATTGAATAAACAAACGTAACATTTCGATTGAAGTCGGAGAAAGAAATTAGAGACGGAAATCGGCGGCAGATGGTTCTCGATTGCAAGAATCCGGCGACGAAAAGCTGACGATTTGTGATTTTGAGCTGAGAAGAGAAGAAACTGAAGAAGAAATGCTCGTCGGAGAAGAAAGAAGCTGTGATTTGATTTGATTCAATTTAATTCATAACCGGCCGGTCAATCAGTAGGGAAAGTCATCGGTTTAGCCAATTGTTACGGTTTTTTCCGGGTCATTAAGGTGCTTTGATCGGTTCGATCCAGTTTGAAAACGCTCAAGGAATATGTAGCGTTTGTGAGGCTAAATTAAACGCGCCACGTCATCAAGACATGTCAACAAAATGCGTCATAAGCCCAATCACGTGAGGCCTGGTAATCGCAAAACGTAGATCGTCATAAATTAAATTTCGAACAGACAAAAAAAGAAAAGAAAATCAATAAATATTAATTTATCCCTCTTTGATTGATAAACCCTTTAATTAAAAAAAAAAATTACTTCTCTTTCCTTGGATCATCGTCTTCCTCTGGTTCTCAGATCTTTGAATCGAGAAGAACCAATTTTAAAGCTCGTTTCAGGTTTGTCTAAATCTATGCTCAAGTCTAATTTTACGTTATACATCTATATAGCTTGGAGATTTTTGCTCAATTTTGCGATTTTTCTGAGATTTGCTTCCGTTTGGGATCGGAACTTTGAGTAATCTGAAAATAATTACCTTGGTGTGTAGCTCTTGGATCAATTTTCCGTTTGATATCAGATCTTTGATTTTTTCCGTAGATTATGATTATGAATGTGGATTATGCGGAAATTCGTTTTAAACTCTGGATTTGATGGTGATAAATCTTGGTGGTGAATTGTCACAATGTAGAAAACGGAAGCTTTTGATGATAGAATTTTGTTTGAGGTTGATGTTCTCTGCTAAATTTGAATCTCACGTTTGAATAGTTCGTCATGTTCAATATCTGAATTGCAAATAGGGATAAAGCTATTTCGAACTCTCATTGTTGAAATATCAAAATAATTCATCTTCTTTGACTATTGTGTGTTCTTACAGAACCTAAGTTTTAGGCATCTGTAGTTCAATTACTTGCCTTACATGTTCTGTCTTGATAATAAAGATTGGTTTTTGTGATTTTAGTGAGTTGCAGGATTCATAGTCTTGTTTTGAAAATTGTGATTATTGCAGTGAATTTATTATTGGAGAAGATTTAAGGCAAAGATGGTGAAAATGACATTGATAGCTCGTGTTACTGACGGGTTGCCTCTAGCAGAGGGGCTCGATGATGGACGCGACTTACCAGATTCAGATATGTATAAGCAACAGGTCAAAGCTTTGTTCAAGAATCTTTCCAGAGGTCAAAATGAGGCTTCAAGAATGTCGGTTGAAACTGGCCCCTATGTTTTCCAGTATCCTTAATATCTACTTTTTCTTTGTTCCTTATTAGTTCATTTTCTGCTTGCAAAAGTTTGTTGATTTATAGACATAGTCCCGCTTTAAAGAAATTTGGTAGGTAATTCACCTCATTAGAACTTTTGACAGCCTCGTAGATTTGCACCAGTGTCTGGCTTATGACACGTTTCAATCCTCTTGCATTATGTTTGAAATCTTCTTTTTTCACATTTCTATGCTTTTAACTTGAAACTAAGGTGAAAGAAAGAACCAAAAATCTATGCTTCCTTAACCAGAAAACTCCAGTTACATCATCGAAGGACGTGTTTGCTACTTGACAATGTGTGACCGCTCTTACCCAAAGAAACTCGCTTTCCAATACCTGGAAGATCTCAAGAATGAATTTGAACGTGTCAATGGACCTAACATTGAAACAGCTGCTCGGCCTTATGCCTTTATTAAATTTGGTATGGGTAGTGTAGATTTTCTTCTGTATTCAGTATCTTGGAAACATACCTTCCTGGATTCACTCTTTTTTCCCCTTTACGTTTTTTGTAGATACATTCATACAGAAAACCAAGAAACTGTACCAAGACACTCGTACACAACGAAATATTGCCAAGTTGAATGATGAACTCTATGAGGTTCATCAAATAATGACGCGGAATGTGCAAGAAGTCTTAGGTGTTGGTGAAAAGCTGGACCGTAAGTCCCATCCAGTACTTTTCCTATGATAATGGATTAAGCTTTTAGGAAACGGAGAAATAGGACACTAGTTTTGCGTTTGTTATAATCAGCTGAGCAATATGCTTATCATGTACTCCTGTTCTTGTTTTTCTTAATGCAGAGGTGAGCGAGATGTCGAGCCGGTTAACATCTGAATCTCGTATATATGCTGATAAGGCTAAAGATTTGAACCGTCAGGTGAGTTTGATTGCATATTACCTTATATTACACAACGCAGTATCGATACACGGTTATAAGATAGTTTGCATGTGGTTCTGAAACATTGAATTTGGTTAAACAGGCTTTGATCCGGAAATGGGCACCAGTCGCAATTGTCTTCGGTGTAGTCTTCCTCCTTTTCTGGGTCAAGACCAAGCTATGGTAAAAAAAAAAAGAAACCTAAGAGGCTATTTTCGTTTGCCAGACATATATCGACCTCAGCGACCGCCGGCTCAAGTCTCAGATTCTGGCACCCAAAATATCTTCTTTCTTTCAAAGAGAAACTTTGACACATTTTGTACTTCTGTAGTATGCAAACTTTATGAGACTGGTTATATTATCATCCCTTATACTCTTCAAACCTTCATTGTCATTTTCTCAGGCTTCTTTAAATTGAATTAGAACCACAATTGAATCAAACCGGATTGTGTTTGCATTCATACACATTTCTAACAGAATCTAAACAGTCTAAACAGGCTATTCTATCGTCTATGTGACCTCAAGTGTCTCTTGAAATCTTGTGGACCAGCCAAATCTAATGAGGAAGTGTTCTTCAACTCATCTGAAAGCTGCAATGCCCCCTGAAAATCTCCTGACTTCTTCAGACAATCGATTAAAGCACGGTAGACATAAACCGATGGTCGAATCTGTCTCTGTTTCATCTCGTCGAAAAGCCTCAACGATTCCTTTGTGTTCCCAGATCGACCCAAACTGTCTATCACTGCTGTATAACTTAGCAAATCCGGTTCAATTCCACGCAGAACCATTTCATTGTATATCACCAAACACATATCGAATCTACAAGCTTTCCTCATCCCGTTTAACACCGTGTTGTATGTAATGATGTTTACGGATACATCGCAATCTTCCTTCATCGTTGACAATACCCCCAACATCTCATTCACGAGGCCAGCTCGTCCCAAGATATCCAAAACCGAGTTGTATGTGATCACATCTGGTTTACATTCCCACTCTTTCATCTGCTTAAGTATCATAAGAACCTTATCAATCTGTCTCGTTTCAGCAAATGCAAGGATGATTCTGTTCATTACTATTAACCTATACGGAAGTGAAGACTCCGATATTTCTTTAACAAGACTCGTCAAATGCGTGCAATCATTGGTATTAATGAATGCTCTAGCAAGGTTGAGATAACAATCTGAACTCAATGGTTCCTTAACCGGCGAGATCAAGAGCTCTCTGAAAATTCTGCAAGAAAGCTTCATATCGTTCTTCTCACCCGCTCCTGCAAGTAGGTTCTTGAAAACCGAAATAGGCAAGCATATGTTCTTGTCTTGTAAGGACTGCCACAACTCATTAGCGGCAGATAGATTTCCATCTCTTGTATACTTCTCAACAAGATTCGTATAATCGACTTTGCTGATGATCTTCGAACCACTTTCACTATGGTTAACTATCTTCTTCAAGAGTTCTTCATCATCTTCTTCTCCTGTGTTTATCAAAGAGTGCATACCAGAGAACGAGCAGCTCCAGCTCAAATCAGCTGGAGCTAACATCATATGTTTCTGCAATGCCAATATATACAAAAAACCAAAGAATCAATTTTCCATACAACAATGAATCACCATCAATCATCAACTTCCACATTCAACTATGAACAATGTGAATCGAATTCATCCATCGAAAGATAAACTCACACATATAATCAGAAAACTTCGTAATCAAACACAAGCTAAATCGTGAAAGCTCCAAAACTACAAATGATCAGACTCGGAAGAGCAACAATGGTTCGAAATTTCGTATCTTCATCGAATCAAATGTTGATAAAAAAAACTCAATGAGGAGCCACAAATCAGAGAAGATAACGAGAAAGAGTTGGTGCTTTTTGGTATCCATACCATAGAAGTGAAGGAACCTCCATAGACGGGGATTCTCTTAACGATCGACCACTTCATCATCTTCCTCGGTAAAATCTATCTCCAGAGAGCTTGTGACATTTCAGGTTTTTGATTTCTGAGGGTGGGTTACGATTAACACATTAGTTAATATCGAGCCATTTTTTAACTCATCTCAAACCTCAGGGACTATTTAGATAAATATATAAAACTTTAAAAGCAAATGTTATTGACAGCTTTTATTAATTTCCTCACGACTTCAACTTTCCTTCTTAGTATTTTCCGACGGGGAAAGTTGTTCAAATCGCTGTTGAATTTTGATTTCTCGAAGACGATCACATTATCGCTTCTGAGATCAGAGAAGATGCAGCAATTACTGTTCGCGGTTGTTCTCTTCGAGGTTGTTGTGATAATGGCGCTTTCCTTTAAGACGCCGATGAGGAAGCTCTTGATCATGAGCTTGGATCGTTCGAAGCGTGGTCGTGGACCGGTGGTGATTCAGACGGTTTCAGCGACGGTTATTGTGCTTCTGGTGACGAGCGTGTATAATATGATGGCGATCCAGAAGCGTTGGATCGAAGACGGTGTAGTGAACCCTACAGATGAGGTTATTATGGCTAAGCATCTCCTTGAATCGACTCTTATGGGTAAGCTCCTTGGATCTGATTTCGCTCTTCCTCTCTCTCTCAGGTTTTACCAATTTTGTTTTAGTAATACTGTTTCTAGTGACATAATCGGAGATCTATAGATTGTTTTAGAAACTTGTGAGGTTGCAATCTCTTGAATGTTTGTGATCATTCTTCTGGATCTAATAGGTTGATAGTTGTATTTGAAGTTGCTAGTGTGATGGCTTAGCTCTTGAATTTTCGATTTATCACTGCTTTTGCTTCTCTGATTCAACCTAGTTCAATCAATTTGGCTGTGGAAGGTTCCATATAGTCAAGGGTTTTGTTATTTGAAATCGGCTTTTCAAGTTTGAGTTTGGTTTCTTTTGTTCCTTGGAAGTTTCTCTTCTGCTTTGGTAAACCTTAGTTGTGTGAGTTTTT